CCAGTTCCCATGGCTAAGCATTGGGGATCCACTTCCATTGTGAGGCCTGAGTGCATCACCGATGTAGCATCCCCAGACCCCTCTGGAAAATGACCTGGGGTGGCAGTTCCTCAGAGACCACGTGGGTGAATGCCACTCCGTGGCTCTCTGTCCCCCAAGGGCAAGGCCGAAGCCCTGCCCCCCCAAGCTGGGGTGACCCTGGTCCTTGCCCCTTACCCCCCCAAAGGGAGGGGGATCAGCGATAATGGCAGGCACGACCCTGCCTGCCTCCTATCATCCCCCGGATCCATCCCCAATGCTCCCAAACTGCCAGCAAAGCTGTGATGTGGATACAAAATGAGCTGCAATAACAAACCACCCATCGAACATAAACCATTCTTAACCTCCACAACTCTTAACTGTACCAAGCATGGTGTAGGTGGGGAGGGTTAACTCTGCTGAGGCCTCCATAAGCCCTCGCAGGGGAGCGCCCCCCCTTTTACCCGGGGGTGTGAGGCCGGCCCCGCCCCTGGTCACACCAGCCAATCCCTGGCTGCGAGCACGACCCTTAACCCTGCCGTCATTCTCCCGAGCTCCCTTGCGGCCTCCCATATGGCAGCCATCATTACAGAGCCATGGGAGAGTGTGGCCATTGCTCTGGCCACAATGCAGGAGCCAGGTTTTTTCATCAAATTAACCTCTTCTCACTGAATAGTCAGGGCTGTTTTTCAAAAAGAGTGAGGCATAATGAGTAGAAGAGGCATCCTTTTTCCTGATGGTGAAGTCGGCATGAGGTTGTGCTGGCTTTTTGAACAGAAGCACAATATGCCGCCAAAGGTTTATTGTATTTTATAGTAATTGAATATCCTGGCTTTTTCTACACGTGTTCTACACACATATTTTAAAGGATATTTCCCTCATATACAAGTACTCTATGCTAGAGGATTCCAGAAGATGAGTACCCTTGTTACTGGGAGAGGACAGCTGAAGTGAGAACAGCTGGGATGTGGCTATAGTCCCTTTGTGGCAAAATATTTTGAAGGGCTGTTTTGGATTTAATGAAATGGTGAAGCAAAGGTGAGAGTAGGTGCAACATGCACAATGGAGTAACATGCACACACACCCTATAAGCTCTTGGGTAAACGCCTTTTGCCATTCCTATCTGGCAAATTGGAATGCAGGTTGGAAAGCTTTGTTCCAATTTCCAAACCCTTTCCTTGAGCTAGGCAATCGGGGGGGGGGAAGCTGTATAGGACAAAAACATATGATGAGGATGTGTAATCTCCAGGCTTAAGAGGAAGGTACTTCAAAATGCCAGATGCAGGGAAGAGCTATCAGGAGACAGGTACCTAGTTGTTTCATATGCTCCCAGAGGCATCTGGTGGGGCCACTGTGAGATACTGGAAGCTGGACTAGATTGGTCCTTGGTCTGATCCAGCAGGACTCTTCTGATGTTCTTATGAATATGGAGCTTTGTATGGAGAATTGCTGCACCAAGTGTTGTCCATTTATTTTGCTAATAAGTGTATTGTTTACTCTGCTGACTAATGTATAGAATTATAGAAAAATGAAGTTGGAAGGGGCCTACAAGACCATCAAGTCCAACCCCCTGCTCAACGCAGGAATACAATCAAAGCATATCTGCCAGGTGATTATCTAAGTTTGTCTTGAATGCCTCCAGTGTTGGAGCACTCACCAGCTCCTGAGGTAACTGGTTCCACTGTTGTACTGCTCTAACAGTTAGGAAGTTTGTACATAGTTCTGCTGTACATATTTTGTAAATACACTGCTAGTGAAGGAAGCTACTGTCTTTACAAATCTCTTTTGCTGTTGACCTGGGAGACTAGCTTGTCTCGGACCCATCTCCACACCCCAAGTTTCTGACAGATATGAGATCTGGATTTTAGCTCTGAACCAATATTTTTGTTTAGCTCAAGTAGTGAGTTCATTAGGTTAAGATGGTGTGTAAAAAAGAGATTCCACTTCACTATATGCACATTTTTATTGGTTATAAAAATAACACCTGTTTCAGCTAATAACTTGGAACATGTCCATGGTCAACTCAGTGAGTTCCTCAAGCAGTGTAATATTTCGTACTAACCAATCAGAAGTGTGAAATATACAGCATCTCTAAAAAATGTAGGAACAAGTGATATCTTTATTGTACCATTAAATAAAATAACAAAATAAAAAACAGTGCGCTTTCCATGATAATTCATCTTCCTCAGACTCTGTACCACGTTCTCATGGGTAGCTCTAACATTATATGTTTATATGAAAGTCCCAAAGTTCATGGCAACTGTTGGGGGGCAGATGTAGCCTCTTAGATGGAGATAGCTGTGGGCTGCAGTCAGCAAGATGCTTGTGGGAGGAGGGTGTAACTTCAGTCCCTTCTTCAGCCAGTGCTGAACCAATTTTCCCATCATGCAATGATTCTATTGTTTGTGTGGTCACCAGAAAGCAGAGCGAACCAAACTGCCCCCAAGTAGACTAAACAGTGATCTAAATGCCCATCTGATCGCATATTGACTCACTCCATTTCCAGTCTTGCATCCCAATTGATTGGGATGACAATAGAAGGAGCCAAACCAAAACAGAAACAGAGACTCAAAGCAAGAATATATCACAGCGTTTCCTGCTATTGATGGCTTCCACTGATAACATCCACTTTCCCCACACTCTGCATTGACTTCCAGTCAGTACCACTGGAGGACCTTCTTAGAACAACCTTCTGAGAGTGGTCCTTTGCACATGTCAACCAGCCAATAGCTACTGAAGTTCTCATTGATGCAGGTCACCAGGGGTAGTTGCTTGCAACACACTCCATGCAATCAGAATCTTCATCTGCTCTTCCCTTGCTCTTCTCCTGAGAGGGGAATGGTACAGAACTTCTCTTACAGCCAAACAGATAACACCAGAAGAAGACTTGTAAGTAAGACAGAGTAGCTGGATCTTGCCTTCTTGCTTCCAGAACCTCAGCCGTTCCCTCATTTGGACATTGGATATATTCACCAAGAATTTAATCTATTGTTTTTAGAATTAACCCTGCTTTCCTTTCTGTCAGTGAATTTCTGGAATTTATCCATCAGGGAGTCTAGGATGATATTTAGATGACTGTGAGATTATGAGGATTGTCAGCTGCCATTCTGGAAGAATTTGTACACAATCAACTTCTGACAGTGAGAAACTGAAAAAGTGCCAAAGAAGTTCCTGCATTGTAAGATTAACCGCATACAGTGGTGCCTTGACTTACGAACATCCTGACATGCGATCATTTCGAGTTACGACCAGCTCCAGCCACAAAAGTTTGCTTCTACTTGCGACCAGAGCGTTGAGTTATGAACAGAAAAAGGCAGGGGGGAAAAAACAAGGATTTCAAATTGCTAACCATTAGTGGCAAAGAGGCTACTTGTTTGTAGCTCTTACACCCCAGCAGTTAGAGAGTGTGCGTTTGAAGGAGGCTTCAGACTGCCTGGTAAGGTAAGGTGCTGTTTTCTGCTTTTTACTGTTCTGTTTGCAACATGGGTTTGGACTGGGGGGTTATGTTTCTGTGCTGTGATGGGTCTTGGGGGGTTTGTTTGGTTGGTTGGTTTTTTTCTCGTTTCTGATGGGTCTTGCAGGGTTTGTTTGGTTTGGGTTTTTTTCCCCCATTTCCATTGGGTCTTGCAGGGTTCGTTTGCTTTTTGGGGGTTTTCCCCCCATTTCCGATGGATCTAGTGGGGTTTGTCTGCTTTTTTCTTTGCTTTTTTGCATTTCTGAAGGCTCTCGCATTGGTTTTTTTGCTTTTCTTTTCTTTTTCCTTCGGCCAGAATGGATTTATTGCATTTCGGATTGGTCTTGCAGTGGTGGGGGGTTTTTTGGTGATTTTTTTTCCCTTCAGCCGGAACAGATTAATTGCATTTCAGTCCATTTCTATGGGAAATAGTGCTTCACCTTAGGGCCATTTCGACCGGAGTTACATAACAAATTAAGTTCATAAGTCAAGGCACCACTGTAGTTACTTTCACAGCATATGAAAACGGAAGAAGCAAAACTGTAGCAAACAAAGAGGCGATGAGGAATGGATAGAGGCCCCATAACGACTGTATATTTTTGCCCTTCTTGGCTTCTGGTAAGTAGATAATTCCTCAACTTCCTCCTGTCTGTTGTTATTAGGGATGGACAGTCAGAGAGGTGTCTTGTTTCCATGGTCACTATCGGCACACCTAAACATGTGGAAGATAGCTTTAGGGCTTCTGTAAACAAGCCTAGGTTTCTTTGTTTCATTCTGCCCTATCCTGAATATCTTGGTATAATAAATGTATGTTTTCCCTCTCATCTTACTATGAGAGTTCAAGGGAATTACTCCTAGGTAACAGCCTTATCTAGGGAGTGGTGCTGCGCTTGTCCCAGCTCCTGCCAACCTAGCAGTTCGGAAGGATGTAAAAGTGCAAGTAGATGAATAGGTACCACCACAGTGGAATAGTAATGGCATTCCATGTCTAGTCGTGCTGACCACGTGACTACGGAAACTGTCTATGGACAAACGTTGGCTCCATGGCTTGGAAACGGGGATGAGCACCGCCCCCTAGAGTCGGACACGACTGGACAAATTGTCAAGGTGAACCTTTACCTTTAACAGCCTTAAGCTCTTAGTACTATAACCAGTACAACTTTTCATCAGGCAAAATGCTGAAACTTTCTTATATATTGTTACTTTTGTAGTCACTGGGTGTGTACAAACTCACTACCTAGGTGTGATCTGGACCACAGCCAGTGCTTTGTAGTCTTCTGATAATTTTTCTATACAAAAGGAAAACAACATTCTGATCAACCAGCTGTGGGGCAGGGGGAGATCATTGTGATCATGTGAGGGATAGATTAGGGGAAATGGAAAACCTGAGGACTGTTGAGTTAAAGCTCAGAAGAACCGGAAGGAAGAGGGGAACACCCCTGCCATACTTTGCACATCCCTGCATAGGCTGCCCTCACCATGACCCACCACCAGTAGGGTGAATTCAAATATACATTAAAAAGGGATGTATTGGCTGCCCCTTGTAGGACAGCTTTATTTGAACTTTTGCATCAGACAAAGCATATCAGTATACAGGCTTTCAGGGGCATCCAGACCCCAGATAAAATCCAGATGTTGCCAGCTGGGAATATTCTTATAGAAAACCAAGTGAGTGATTCGGGGAAGCAACAGTTTGATATCCTTCTGATCTTCAATAATGTCTTTTCCACCACTCCACACAGCTGTTGGCACAGCCATATCTTCTATCCTATAAAATGGAGGGGTGCTCTGTGGAAGAAATAAAAAAGGAACATGAAAATGTGCCAGCTGGACAGCTCAGTGAGTTACGTCCCTACTGTGTCACAGGAGAAGAGCCAGCCTGTATAGCCTGGGTCAAACTGCACAGTCCCAAGGCACACCCAGAGGAAGGAAATGGTAAACCACTTTTAAGTATTCTATATCTAGAAAATGCTGGGGGAAAAGGCCATGCGTCAGATTTGACTTAATGGCGTGGAATTATAATTAAGAGTGTTCACTTAATCTTTTATTTTTTAGGAATTTTCCCTATTTTTGGCTCAACCTAAATAATGTTTTCCTTTCAACATCCTTTTTCACATCTTCTCCTCCTTGGTGATTTGAATATTTGTATTGATACTCTGCTTCTGTGCATATATTGATTTTCATTCTCATATTGTCTCACATTTCAAATTTTGTTCAGCATTCTCTCTCCCTCTCCCTCTCCCTCTCCCTCCCTCCCTCTCTCTCTCTCTGTCTCTATCTCTCTCTTTTATGTTGTTGTTGCCAGTGTCAAAGAACTGGAAATCAGCAATTTTTCCATCAAGTCACACAGTACCTCCTTATCTACCTTCTTTCTCTACCTGCCCACATTTGCTATATATACTAGCCATACTCGGACATTCCTTACAAGGATTAATTTTAATCTATAAAGGGGGAAAACAGACTACAGTATCCCACACCTTCCCCATTTTAGACCTTCTGTGGAAAACTGAAGAGAAGAACAATCTCTGTGTGTGTACTCTTATTTTTCAGGTTTTCCTAAAAATGTGGAGAGCTCCCAGAGACAGTAACTGACCATCCTACTTGCTACATAATGGAAAGAATCCTGTTGGCATAGCTCCACATGTGTAAAGCTGTTGACATCATCATCAACAGCCTGTTATCTTTAATTGAAAGTTTCCTATTCCCTCCTTAGGTTTCAGGACTCCAGAGAGATCACTTTTAATGTGGGGGCCTCAGCCAAAAATCATTGCCACCAGTCCCTGAATACTGAATAGTATAGATGTTCTAAAACATCTATACCTCGTCTTCAACATGAGTTGGCTACTTTGGTTCTCTTTTTCCACTTTCTTTACCAATGGCCTCAAATTCTTCCAAATCAACTCCAACATTTTGTTAATTAACTTCTGTTATTCATCTTGTATTAACCCTTCCTCTTGTGAAACTTGTATTATTTCTATTACTACTACTTAGGACTGGATTAAGACATGCCAGAGCTCTAAGATATGACATTTTTCCAAGGCCTGATAGTATTATCCCCCCCAGCTATGGGGATTTAAGGAAAATACTTTTGAGACTTTAAAATGTAGTATAAATCTCACACTGCTCATTCTTCCCAGTGCTTCTTGATTTTGACTTTTCTTAATGTTCTACAGTTTTTGCAGCTGATTCTCTTTCCTCATCTGAATACAAAACATGCTCTTTTTATCTAGTTCCCTCTCTTTTTCCAACAATTGCTGCCTCTATTATTTCTATTCTCCCATCAATGGGCAATATTAATCATCAGTCTTCTTTTAATGCCAAAAATTAATATTTTTGTGTCATCTCTAATTTTTTTCTCCTTTTTTTCCTCTCGGTTCGCATGTTTCCTTTAACTAGTCTCTTCTCTTTTTAATATATCATGTTCTACAATTACAGTTTCTCTTCTGAAACTGTTATTCACACTTTCACTCTACTGTTTGGGCTGAAATTATTTATAAATACATAATTTCTTTAAAAGAGTGGGGGGACAACTTCTTTAAATCAACATGGACCGTAGGGAGCTTCAGAAACTGTGTTGTGGTGGGCGGTGGGAACAGAAAAAGAGTAAAGTCTGTGGCTGATGATATCATCAGTGTTATAGACACAGAGTTGTGTGATCAGGATTTTGGCCACTGTGTTTTCTCCCTGCAGTCAGAACTGCTCACTTAAATACTTGGCATATAATCATTACCCCTACCTCGTTCCTTACCATATTATATATTGCTTCATTCTTAGATCCATAGTCAAAATATTTGAATTCTTTTGATTTAGCAATCTGAAAAGCAAGAAAAACAATAAAACTAAAGGTAAATTTTCAAAATATTTCTTTCAAATTGATAATGTAAATGTATACATCAAAACTAGATATTTGAATTACCAGAATGCTTTCTCTTCTTGCAACCCCCCCCCCCACAAAAAGCCTTGTCACATGGTAGAGTTGGTCGGTATGTTGTGGAAGTACCACATTTACATTGAATGGAAAATCTCGTTAACATAGTAATGTGGGATTGCATTGCTGGCACAAGTAGGGATCTCCACAAATAAAAGATACCCTCCACTTGTGCAATGGCAATGTTTGCACTAGCAGCCTGATCCTACATTATTAAGCTGCTAGAACTTTCTACTTACCAGAGTCCCAACAGGATACTGGCCTTTACCTGTAGCCCTCCTTTGTAGAGGAATATTGAACAACAAAGATGTAGCATTCAATCCTTGTTATGCAAAATAAGTCATGCATTATTCAGATTCTATACTAATGTGTTTGAGAGGCGAAGCCGAAAAGAGATGTTAAAAGGCGGAGCCTGAGTCAGTTAAAGTGAGTCAGAGTCAGAGTGAGAGTTTGGTGAGTCAGGGAGAGGGGGGGAACAGATAGAGAGTGATAAGATTGGTTAAGAAAAAAGGTAGAGAAGGCAGCAATGATATTGTAAGAGAAAAGTATGTACCGAGAGCACAGTTAACAATTTGCTTGTGTACAATGATTATCTGAAGGACTTCTGTTATTATTAAATCTGATTCACTTCAATAAATAGGTTCTGTTTGAATTCACAAGACAAGTGTCCCGACCAACGTTATTTATATTGTGGATTGAGGTAATCCACTGGTGTCAGTGAGAGGAAAACGCAATGTGAGCCTTTGTGAGGGCCAAACACGCAGGTGCCACAAAGGTGAATGCCAGAAAAGACTTTCTGCTTCAAACAGTACACCTTCCTCTTTCTTATGTACAAAGAATATCCATGGGAAATTATCCCCAAAACCATTTTTCTCCATACCTTCCTAGCCCACAGTACAGCCAAACTGCAACACAGAGTGTTTAATTCAAGGACAGACCTACCTCGTCCCTCATATATTGTTATTCAATATATGAATACAGTGGTGCCTCCCAGAACGGTCGCGCCGTAGAGCGACGAATCCGCGCAACGGTGCCGTTTTTGCGATCGCAAAAGCGATCGCAAAACGGCACCTAGATAGGGCACAATTCACAGAGCGAAGGTCGGTAAGCGGTTCGCTTACTGACCTTCGCTTTGCGACCGGCCAATCAGCTGGTCGGCAGGTCCAAAATGGCCGCCGCGCGACCCCAAAATGGCCGCACGCAGGGTTTTCGCGCCCTTGGTAAGCGAGGGGAGGGCGTGAAAACGCTGCCAGAACAGCTGAAATGGCTGCACACAGCGTTTTCGCGCCCTTCCCTCAGAAGCCAGAGAAACATGAAATATGGTACATATGGAGAAGCTGGTAACAGTCCAACAAGGAGGCACAAGGTCAAAAGACAAAAAGGAGATAAATGGAGTGATAAGCCAGAAGAATTGATCCAAATACAAAGAATGGAAAGAAATTGAAGGGGAGGTGAGAGTCTTGGTACTCATGTCATCTGACTGGGCATACAAGGCTCTATAGCACTTTTGCTTTCACTTCAGCTGGAGAATACACTGTGTGCCTGTGCATGCTCAGGATTAAACACGCATGCACTGAAACCATGAGGAAGAACACTTGAAGTCTGAGACAAATTTAGGGAGAGCAGTGGTATCAAGGTCCTTCTCCTTATGGAACACCAGTGACATGCAGAGGATGCAGAGTTCATTTGTTCAGCAGTCTGACATAATGGCCACAAGAAGGACTAGCTTACAGGAAAGAAGTTGGATGGCTGTTATTGCCAGAAGCTTGAATGTCTCTTCCAATAACTGAGTAAGGAATGTAAGAAGGATAGAATGGAAAGATCTCTAAAGGAGGAAGCTACTTAAACTCTAAAGCAGGGTTGTCCAACCTTTCACTTTCCCTGGGCCACATTAGAAGATGAAAATTTGGGTTGGGCTGCACATACATTTGGTTTGGGCCGCATGGGGGGGCAGCCCTAGCCGTCCTCCGCAGCCCCGCTCCAAGCGCGCTTACTGGCAGCTGCGATCTCAGACAGCAGAGGCTGCCAGCTTTGACTCCGGCGGCTTTATGGGGCTGGGAGGGGGTCCACCTACTGACGGGGATGGCACAATGCAGTCACGCAGCCCCCCTGTCCCCTCCCCTCCCACTCCTTCCTTCCCTCTCGCCCCCTCTACTTTTGTGACATGCCCTGGCCACATTCCGGCCGCAAGCGCTGGCAGTGTAACTTGAAACTTTGGAATTTCTTTTTCTAAAAAAAATTGCACTTGGCTGCATTACGAGCTGATCTGGGCCGCATGTGGCCCTCGGGCCGCGGGTTGGACAAGCCTGCTCTAAAGCATGACTACAGTAGACAAAGGTAAACAATGATATGTGATGATATGCAATGCGCTTGAATAACAGTATTGAGGAAGAGGGGTTGATTGTTGGGCAAGCACAGAGAAAGACTATGGTGGGCACTGAAGGCCTCAGAGTCAGAAAACAAAATTGCTTGCTTGAATCTGGTTTCTTCAAAAAGACTGAGTGACACTGAGATTATCTGCACGAGCAACAGCCGCAGGCAGACTGGGAACACCATCTGGGCAGGAGATTAGGACAAAGTGTAAAACACAGAACAGCAATGTTGAGGACATAAGACATGTTGAGGCCTTGTTTGTGATCCTATCCCCATCTTTTTAGCTGTGGCACAAGTAGTCAATGGCTTCATCCTTTTTCCCATTAAATAATCTATCTCCATTGAAGGGAAGCTCTTCAATGAAACAATGGGCATCTGATAGGATTCTTGCTGTGCACATCAAAAGGCAATGGCCCATTTTGGACATGCAGTCTAACATGTGTACGGCTGAGTTTATTTGTTAACCTGCTAGATGGTGGGCTTTAGTAGAGAAAGAAAAAGCCAGGTCTTGCCATTCTTTGGGTAAGTAAGGCCATTTGGTTTCCCACAAGAACTGTACATGGATGGCCATTTTGCCTGATAATTTCCAACACATGTGCCCAACACAGCCAAAGAATAATTAATATATCCCATTAGTTCCAGCTTTTTATTCTCTCTTTCTCTTTCTTTCTTTCTCTCTCTCTGTGACACAGAGCGAGAGTGAGAGAAAGAGAGAAAGAATATGGGGGTATAAGTGTATGCATAAGAATGAGGAATGTGTGTGAATGAAATGTGTCGAAGTGAATGGACCATGCATGTATGGCAAAAGTATGTATGTGTAAGGGGGGGGGAGAAAGAAAGGGAAGATATGGGGAAAGAATGCAAAGTTGTACCAGTACAGTAATACTTCACTTAGCACAGAGGATGCATTTCAAGAAAATTGAATGCTATCTCAATCAGCATTAAATGGGGCAGTTTATCATTGTGCCTTATCAGATAAGGCAATCTTGCCAGTAGAAGGTGGAGTAGTTGCACGACGGAATGTAACACATAAGACAATGCAGGATACGAACAGCAGTTATTTCACCACCAGCTCTGCCTGTCACTGGGACGCTGACAGGCCCTGCTAGGCCTGGACCTTAGCATCTCCTTGCCTCATGGATACTGACTGACTTGAGTTTTCATGCACAGGCATTGCTGTCCCCTCTCTCCCCAACCCCATTCCTCTCTGCTTCCATCTACCTCAAGTGAGCCTGGAGGGAGGAAGGACCAAGAGAAAAGTTGCAGCGAAAGTTGCACTAAGGGTTGCCAGATAGATGGGTACCAAAAGGAGGTCATAGAGAAGATAAAAAAGAGGACAGAGAAGGACGTATTGAATGTTTCACTTCAATCGTTCCGGATTAAACCTGCGATCAATACGATTTTATTACGATAGTTGCCAATAAATGTATCTTAGTGAACTGACCAAGAAACAGTCATGTTAAAAAATAAAAATAAATTCAATGGAGGCTTTTTTTCCAAAATACCGGGAGTGGGCGGGCAGGTGGGGGTGGGGAAGGCCAGGGGGAAGGTGGTCCTTCCACCTCTCCCCCTCCTATCCAAAATTATAACATAAAATATACAAAAGCCTGGCATTTTAAATATTTTTATCTTTGCCTACCTGACGGAGGACATTAGGCTAAAAAGGAGGACATGTCCTCCTTTTGCCTGACATCTGGCAACCCTACCCTTGAGTCATGTGAACAGAATTTTATAGAATGATTTAAATAATGGCAGAGTCAATATAAATGGGGTTCTTTTGGCACATGTGACTGCACCCTAACTGGGTCTAAAAAAGTGTTAGTATTTTTGCTAGCAAAACGAGCTCAGCAGTGTTATGAGAGGAAGCCTGTTATATTTTATTTTTATTATTATTATTTTATATATATCCCGCCTATCTAGTCGATAGACCACTCTAGGAACAATTCCCTTGAATTCTCATAGTAAAGTGAGAGGAAAAAAATATGCATTTAATGCACAAAGAAATCCATCCAGGAAGAAGCCTGTTATCTAGGAGCAATTCCCTTGAATTCTCATAGTAACGTGAGAGGAAAAAATATACATTTAATGCACAAAGAAATCCATCCAGGATGGGACAGAATAAACCAAAACAAAGCTAGAATTATTTACAGAAGCTTCAAGTTCTTGCTGTAACTACAGGCTTATAACTGAAATGTATTTTTCTGATTTAAGTACTTGTCTGCAACTTAAGTTTAATTTTCATATTAACTTCATACTTCAGATGATTTTTACAATTTTTAACAATTGTAACTGTAGCTTTCCTTAGCTGCAAAAATGGGTTTCTGTTAAAGCCCTTAAAAATGAACTTTCTTGTAAGTGATTGCATGATTGGATTTCTGTATAACTGAAGTAACATGCCTGCAGGAAAAGGTACATGTTTTCACATTTTATTTTTCATGCATACATAGACCATAGAAACAATTAGATAAATAAAGATTGTAAATTAGACAAGCTGATGCTGTGGATGTAGATGTCTTTAAAAAGTGTTATTTTACTAGGGTGAAACAGTGGCTTGTTCTTATCCTGTGAAGAGAGATGAAATATTTAAACTTCATATCTCTTTATACTTTTATAGACATTGATACAATTGGTAAGATTATCTGGTTTCATACTGAAGAAGTAACCCCATAAGGGGAAAATGTCAGCTTTGGTGAACTCTTATAAATTATAAAAATAAAATTAAAATGTATAGTGTTTTGAGGGCTTTATATTTCACACATATGACCTTAACACTAGGATTTGCTTCCATGTTAGCAAGTGTGCTGATATTTATTTATGTTGTTGTTAGTTAGTTATTTTCATTTCTATACAGCCTTTCTTCAAATAAGGCATCTCACAAATTATTAAAAAGTAAATTGGCTAAAATGCAATAAATTATTACATTAAAAACAAATAAACACGTAATAGCTTCTTAAAACATTTGTTAAGAACAGTTAGAGACACCTTAGAATACATTAAAACACACATAAAATATTAAAAATGCCCAGCACCCAAAATCAAAACTCTTTCCTGCCCAATTATTTGTTAAAAGGCTGAAAGGGTGGTGGAAGTGATAGAAGGTGAGGCACTCTCGCCTTGCTCCATGAACCACATTGGCTCTGAAAGATTTGGGACAAGGCTTCGCAACCTTCTGTTGCCAGAGGCCCTTGGACTACAACTCCCAGAAATCCTGGTCAGCACAGCTAGAGGCTTCTGGGAATTTTAGTCTAAGGACATATGGGGACCCAAGGTTGGGAAACATTGCTTTAGGATGTTTAAGAGCATCAGTAAATGCTTGAAATTATATTAAGAGTACACCAGTTACTAATTGAGTTTTAAAAGAAACAATTGCTGATCAGCCGTCATACACCTCTTAATTCATCCAGTACTCATTTGATTGACTAAAATGTGGGTGAAAAGGAGGACTGTGTGACTCTGAACATGTACAAGAAACAAGACTGTAATGTGATAATAAACATACAGTATATTAATACATACTCTTATGAGTCCTTCAGGGAGACTGAGGAGTACTGAAAGAGGCCCCTTCATGCCCACAAATGTGTAGCCAGGAGCAAGACACATGAGGAGCTTAACTTTTTTAGCAAGTTGTGGCATGACTGTAAAAGTAATGAAACCTGTGGAAAAGGAAGCATTTTGTACATAACAGTTGTGGGTTTTTTAACTGTAGGCCTCTGTATTGAAGTCATTATTTTCATTGACATTTTGACTGCTTTTATCTCTTTTGGAGAGTTTAGAGAGCAAAACAGAAATACCAACACTTGCATCACTGGCCCTATGTACACTCTCTGTGATAATGTGTTTTTTCAGTTTTCTATTCAGAAGCCTTTATTTCACTCCACCCTGATGCCTATTTGTCTTAAAAGAGAGGCCATCTTTGATTCAGGTGAGAAACTGCGGCCCTTTGGATGTTTTTAGACTGCTGCTCCCATAATCTCAGTACATGGAGGCTCAGCCTGACATAAGGTTGCCAGATGTCAGGCAAAAGGAGGACATGTCCTCCTTTTTAGCCTAATGTCCTCCATCAGGCAGGCAAAGATAAAAACCTTTAAAATGTCAGGCTTTTGTATATTTTATGTTATAATTTTGGATGGGAGGGGGAGAGGTGGAAGGCCTCCCCTCCCCCTATCTTTCCCTCGCCCCCTCCTGCCGCGGCGGTGACTGCTCGGTGATCTGCCATGCCCACTGAGACCTCGTGGAGCCCAGAAAGGCAGCGCAAGTGGAGCGCCACCTGCCAAGCCAGGCAGGAGCAAGCAGTGCCCGAGCACATTGATGGGAAGGCAAGCGCCTGGACTGTGTGTGTTCAAAGTCCCTTTCAGGGACTCCAACTCCCACACTCCCCAACCTCAAACTTATGACCCTCTGGGGAGGGGAGGCTGGCTTGTTCGGTTTTGCCCGACACCGCTTTCCCCCTGCCTGAGCTGGAGCCTTGTTTGGGCATCCAGGTTAGCAAAGCTGCCTCTGAGCCTGTGTAGAGTGCGAGTGCCTGGGGGATCCCGCAGCCGGGCTGGGGTGGGTTTGGGTACAATTGGCCGTTTAAATAATGTTTTTTGGTATTTTTTTTAAAAAGCCTCCATTGAACTTATTTTTATTTTTTAACATGACTGTTTCTTGGTCGGTTCACTAAGAGACATTTATTGGCAGCTATTGTAATAAAATTGTATTGATTGCAGGTTTAATCCAGAACAATTCAAATGAAACGTTCAATATGTCCTCCTTTGCCCTCTTTTTTTTGTCTTTCTATGTCCTCCTTTTGCTACCCATGTATCTGGCAACCCTAGCCTGACAGGAACAGCAGGTGAAAATATATATTGTTGTTGTTGTTGTTGTTGTTCTAAGAGCATTGGTAACACAAGGCCTGTGCAGACTGTAGGATACAATGATTTAGATCCATCCTTTGTTCATCCATCCCACATATGGAGATGACTCACCATCCTCTGACTTCAATATATATAATGACTGAATATATTTATTATGTTCATATACATTTCATATATAATATACTGACTATATGAAAAAACCATAAACTAATGAATTACTCCTCTCTCCACTCCTAGAGTCCTAATGCTGGAATACAGTGGGGTCTCTACTTAAGAACTTAATCCGTATTGGAAGGTGGTTCTCAAGTTGAAAAGTTCTTATGTTGAATCTGCATTTCCCATAGGAATGCATTGAAAACCATTTAATCCGTATCTGCTCTTTTCCGTCCATAGAAACTACAGTGGAACCTCTACTTAAGAACTTAATCCGTTTTGGAATGGTGTTCTTAAGTTGAAACGTTCTTAAGTTGAAGCAAAATTTCCCATAGGAATGGACTGAAAACCAATTAATCCGTTCTGGCTGTTTTTTTGTTATGTAGAGGTGTGTTCGTACATTGAAGCATTAGTTCCCATAGGAACTAATGCAAAGCTGGTTAATACGTACTCTACCACTAGGGGGAGAATTTTTTTTAACCTAAGATGACCTAAGGTTAAAAAAAGAGCAGGAAAGGTGTTTTTTTTCCTGTTCTTATCTTGGATTTCTGTTCTCAAGTAGAAGCAAAATTTAGCAAATGGAGCTGTTCTTAAGTTGGATTGTTCTTAAGTAGGGACGTTCTTAAGTAGAGACCCCACTGTATGTATATATTATATATGTTCACTTATTTCATTCTTGCAGGGGAGTTTGAAAATTGCTTCGCTGTTTAAAAACATATTTATACTCTTGTTCTCATGTAGGAACAAATAATCTCACAGTGGACGCCCCCCTTTTTTTGAATGGCACATCTCAGTGTGACAAGATATATTTCCTAATGAAGGAAGAGATCCCGGAAGGTAAACATGGCTTAAGATCTTGGTTATATCCATAGGCTGAATTGCAGCAACTTTGTCAGTCATTCCCACAAAACTAAACAAGGAAAAAAAAATGCTGCATTTGTACTTCTTAGCATACCCAATGAAGCACCCTGAGAGTGGCCAATAATATACAATCCTTCTTGATGAGTCTTCTGCAAGATAAAGTTTATGGTTGCTGGAAGGTCATAAATTGCCATTTCATGAAAACTGCAATATATAAAGACAAAAACAATTTAAAACATTCCTACACGTTCGGCTACATCAGTATACAGCCTTCTTCAATCTACTGCCCTCCATATATGTTGGACTACAACTCTCATTTTCCCCAATCAGCATAGCCATTATTGTGCCGTGTACAGATCACTAAACAAGATCTGAAAGTTCTCCTCCAGCACATTCCAACGCTCAGTGAATCATTTAAATGGCAACGAATTTAGTACTTTCTCTGTGGTTGTCCAACAGGAAGGAAAAGCCAAAGATTTGTTCATGAAAGAGAAAGAGCATCATGTCGTGTGACTCCAGGGACAAAAATATGCTTCCTGGACTCATGTGACATTAGCTCAGAAATCAGCAAAGCTCCTTTCCCCTCAAACTGGAAATACCTCTGAGGTTTTGCTCAAGACAAGAGTGCACAATGTTTAAGGCTTGGGGGCTGTACTTGAATTCCAAAATCCCACCAGAGGCTTCCATCCTTCCATCCACTGTCATTGCAACTGAATTAGCTACTGTGGGAACAGAAACCATCCCCCCCCCCCGACCAAAAAAAGGAAATGCAAGAAAGCCAAGTGGCTGTCCAACAAGGCCTTACAAATAGTAGAGAAGAGAAGGGAAACAAAATGCAAGGGAGATAGCGAAGGTTACAGAAAATTGAATGCTGAGAGACATTGAATGCTGAGCAAGGAGAGACGAGGGGAACCTTTACCTTTACTTAAGGAATTAATGAAAATATAATAATCATTGGGTTTGTGGTCTAAAATATTGTTTGGACATTTGCCCAGCACATCCCACTGTTTTTGGCATGAATTTTTATTAAGAGATCCCTCTTCTGGCCTGTTCCATTACATTCTGACTTTTACCTCAGTCCTGTGCTACCTCTGTATGTCTCCACATTGCTTCAGAAAGGGAAAAACACAAAGCCATTTTGTGCACATTGCAGAAACTGGAATTTTAAAACTACGTCTCATCTCACTCCTGCCCAATAGGGGCAAATCTAAGGGAGGGCTGAACAAATCCTAAACAGACTCCTTTGGCAGGTTGAAGTAGCTTGTCTCATCAAGAAGAAATAAATAAGAAATAAACAATTATTCTCACATCCCTAATATATAATTTTTTATCTAGTTCTCTAAAGCAAACATTCAGATTAAAAAATTTTTAAAAGCCAAGTTAAAAGTCTAACACTCATATTTTGAAATTATAATTTCCATAATCTTAATTTTGATCTTCTGAAGTATATGCCAATGGAAAGAGAACAAGGAAGGAATTGCTGATGCCAGCTTTCAAATGAAGTGCACAGCCTGGGAATAATGACCAGAAAGGACCTCTCTCCCATCTCTGCCAGACCTGTTTCTGAGAGTGGCAGGAAGAAGAAGAGAGTCTTCTCCAAGAGATCAGGGCCAAGGTCTCATTCTTTCTCTCTTTTAACATGACATGCATTCCGTTAAATTTTTGGAAAGAGCAAAACCAAGAACAATGCAGTCACAATCCACTTAGCCCCACCTTTCAAGAGCTCCCTTCAGCTACAAGGCAGGACTGCATAAAACTGTTACTGCTTTCAGGTATCACCCAGGACAAAACCCCAGCCATCCAAATGGCACATTGCCCTGGGAACCTACGTGAAATCCCAGAATTCTTCTTGATCAATGGTCAGATTCTGATGTTTTCTAGACCAGGTGGTCCCTCTGTTATTAATTATCCAGACATCATAGCCAGCATCTGCTAGAACAAATCCCAAGCTATTATTGGGAAGATTTGCAATAATTTCTCTACCCTCAATCACCAAACCAGGTACTAGCAGCACAGCAGGCCTCAGACCTGGAGAACAAAGAGAACATGGGTTAAACTAACGATAGGCATTCAGCTGAGACATCCACGTTTTTCATTATGGCTTCATTTGGTGGTCCCTGTTTGGAGGCTTCCACCTTTATTGAAACTGTGCAGTTTTCCTGAGACAGACACCACAGTAAATGTTGTTCTTTGAGGCTGGACAGGGGACAATTTTAAAATAGGAATACCATTATCTTTGGAAATGGGGCTACAAGTTCCATTGTTTTTCAGTGGTTGGGAAGAAGAAGAAAAGGTGGTGGTCTTCATAGGTGACTCTCCCACACACTCTGCATTGGCATAGGAACTTGACCAAAGAAGGAAGTAGAAATGTGCTCACCTATCCCCAAGAAATGAATCGGAGGAGAAAAGTGAGGAGAAAATGGGATTCGTTTCCCACCACTTTTCCACCCCTTGTGAAGCAGCTTCTTACTGTCCCTTCTTTACTTCATTCATTGATATTCTGACATCCAGGCAGCATGATAGGATAAGAAGTCAATATGCTTGTGATACAATGTCTATGTATTCAGTGTTTTTTTAATAACATGAATTCTGATAAGGGCATTTTCCCATGCATAAGCAATAGGAGAAGAGGGGTTGTAGTGTAAGCATCAGTCTCTGTCATTGATACAAAAACACTATGTTATGTTCCCAAGATACCTGGCTTCACAGGATTGTTTCTTCCATAAGGGATTCTATTTGCTGTCAAGTAATAGCCATCCTCTGTCAGGATTTGATACTCTTCACTGGGATACCCCCAATAATGGAGAATTTCATTCTGCAACAAGAACAGCAAAAGAAATTCTTGACAATGAGATGCTGAGAGGGAAACTGAAGCATTTAAGCTGCAGCCCTATGCTCACCTTAAAGCACATGCTGAATTCACTTGGGCTTACTCCTGAGTAGACACAGGTGAGACAAAACTGTTAAATGCATTGAGGGAGCATATATATACTTTCCTAAAGGAATGTCAGTCTTGACTTGTTTTGTTTTTACACAGCAAAAGAGATAGCATGAACATTTTTCTTACTGCATGACAAGATACTATTTTTGCTAGCCATGGAGAGATTTTGCACATTTCTGAAAAATGCAATTGTTTTGCATTTCTGAAAAATGTGTATTATAGAAAATGTTGTGTTGCTTTCTTGCATGGAGTAGCAAACCTGGAAGCACTGAATGTGTTTGTATGTTTCTGATGAATCAGACTATATGTTTGCTTGCTGTACAGTATATGTCTGCTTGGAGACAAAGCACTAGTAGTACACAACTACCATTTTGCGCAAAACGTGGTCGAAGTGAGCATGCGCTGTTCCTCCCATACTGGAGAATTAGAGAGTTCTTGACAGGCTGCCTTGGTAAGAAATGAGACAACAGATTTCTGCACATCACTACGTACCTGAATAAAGTTCACTGAATTCAGTAGGTATGACTTTTAAGTAGACATGAATATGATTGCACTGTATTTTTTTAAAGGATAGTTACTGTAGATCCCTCTTTTAGCACCTTGATTTCTAAGCCTGAATGTGTGCTTAATGCAGTAAGAACAATGTATCTGCAGGATCAGTTTCACTCATCCACTGCCTGAAAATAATAAATAAAATCCTCAGAAATAATTTTTTCCAAGGTGTAATACCAGAACTGGCCACTAGATGGAACCAGAGACTACTGTATACCAGTGGTGGTGAACCTTTTTGGGCTCATGTGCCCAAACTGAGGGGAAAAAACCAAAATACTGGGTGGACTCAGAACCAGAAGTGGTGGCGGGTCGAGAAACCAGAAGTGGCAGTGGAAGGGGGAATCCCAGCACGGAGGTGCCTCAAGACCCCACTCCAGAACCGCTGCCAGCACCAGCGGCTCTGGATCTACCTTCCGAAACACCAGCACCACGGCTCCAGCCGCCTTCTCAGGTTTGGCCATAATAGCACTGATCCCATGAATACGGGAGTGCTACTATATAGGGTTTGCATATCCATGGTTTCCTGCATCTGTAAGTGGGGGTCTTGGAACCAATCCCCTATGGATACCATGGCCCTACTGTATTCAGAAATGATTTCCACTCTCTGATATATCACCGTAAAACTTTGAAGGCAAAAGCCAGAAGAGTATAAAGAAAATGTGCAAGATTATTATTAAATTGGCTTACTGAGCTTAATATCTTCATTATTGTTTTTAATTCTATTATTTTTAATATTGTGAGCCGCATTGGGTTCCCTTATTGGGAGAAAGGAGGCCTATAAATAAAGAAAACCATGATTCTGAGTTTGCAATTCAACATGAGTGTTTTTACATACACACATGTACATGCGCTGGTCTAACTGGAGCTATCTTTCAAAAGTTTGATTATTTATTTATTTATTTATTTATTTGTATCCCACCCATCTGGTCTATGCGACCACTCTGAGCAGCTTCCAATATAATACAAACAATTAATAAAAAAACATAGTTACATAAATCTACAAATGAAAATGTGGAAACCAAGAAAATAGAGTAAAAATAAATTAAAAAGAAATGAGAAGAGAGAATCAAGTATTGACTGGAGGGAAGGCCTGAATAAACATCCATGTTTTTACTTGGCTTTTAAAGATACCCAGTGTAGGGGCCGCACGAATCTCCAGAGGAAGGTTGTTCCAGAGGCAAGGAGCCACTGCCGAGAAGGCCCGATTTCGTGTCTTTTCCTTCCGGGCCTCTCTGGGCGTCAGGCCCCTCAGCCTCACCTCCTGACTTGCACGGGTGATCCGGGTAGAGCTTGGTGGGAGTAGGCGTTCTGCCAAATATCGAGATCCTAAACCGTTTAGAGCTTTATAAGTAAGCATTAAAACTTTGAAGTCGATAGGGAAACAGATGTGAGACCAAGCTACACATTCACTATATTGTTGTTTTTAATGGAAACTTATATAGGCTGATCACCAAAGCAGTTCTTCCACAAGCACAGGAAACTACTGTATTTGGGAATCTACTGTGTTTTCCTGTTTCCTATAGTATTAACCACTTTTAGTAACAGTAAGAAAACAGTAGAGAAATGATTCTGAGCACCATTGGCTGGCAAGACAAGGGCTTAACATGAAGGGAGAAAGACAATGATTGCATTGAACTGTTGCTGTCACTGGCTGCTATCGCTAGTCCAAAAGAAAGAGGGAGGAGTGTCTAAATGAGTGGGTGAATGTTTGGGATGTCAAACAGGGATAGGTTTAGATTGTAGAAACAGGATTTTGAAGACAGACTAGCTTAGGAACAGATATAGATTTGAGCTGCTGTTGATGGGAAATGTGAGATTTGTACAACTGAAGGAGTTTGGATATGATAAGTTCGTAAAAAGGTAGATACTCGTTTAGGTAGGTGAAAAAGCTGCATGAATTATCTACAACTTGTTTTTATTGTTATTATTTATAATCTGATACCTGTACAACAAACAATTTTTATCAAACATACAGGCTGGCTGTTTGGCCATAGCTCAATGAAGGGTGAGAGGAAGGGAAAAAAATATTATATGAAATGGCTTCTGGGAAGCAGTGGCAGCAGTGCTACTGAACTGTTACTGAGTCCTAACAAAAGGCTGACATAAAATCCTTCCACAGGGAGAAGGAGGAGTCCAGAGTCCCAAATGTTTACACAGTGGTGCCTGTTTGTGTAGCTACAGGCACAGGTCTGTGGACTCCTGCAAGATGGCAACCCAGCCAAGGAATTTAAACACCCCTTGTTGGATTCGCCTGCTTTACTGTTCCCAGTAGAAATCTGTCAGGGAGCTTCCCTTTTCCTCTTTAGCACTCCTCTCTACCAGCTGAGATCTCAGGGGGACTGCTGCGCTTCTTCAGGTCTCCGAGACAAATGGAACAGAAGGAAGGAAATAACTAATTCTGGTTAGGGAAGTGGTTTTGAATCCTGGGCACCCATTTGCAACCATTGTTAGATGGTTCTAGGGCTTATTATTTCAATATGAAATGTATTTATTTAATTTATATACCGCCCATCTAGACCAAAGTCTACTCTGGGCAGCTAACAACACTCAAGGATTATAAAATAAAATAAAAGCACAACAGTATCACAATTGAAGATAGCAAATAAATTAGGTATTGACAGGAGGGAAGGACAGCCTGAAGTATTTCTGTGGCCTGGAAAATCTCCCCACGAGTCTTGTGAACTCTTATATGTTAATTTATCTCTTTCTAGCACCACAAGACCACTGATAAAGATAATTTAAAACATATAATTGATGTTAATGACATATTTTGATGTAATATGCATCAAGGAAAGTTTTTTTAGTGAAAAGAATTGGAACAATGTTTTTCTAAGATTTTTATACAGTGGTGTCTTGACTTGCAGACGTCCCTACATACGAAAATTGCAAGTTACGGAAAGCTCCAGCTGCAAAATTTTGGTTCGACTTGCAGCCGGAGCTTCCACTTACGAAAGGAAAAAGGCAGGGGAAAAGGGCGGGAAATTTAAATTTACTAACTGTTGGTGGCAAAGAAGCTGCTTCTTTGTAGCTCTTTTGCCCCAGCAGTTAGGGAAGGGGATGCAGTTGGGGGGGCAGCGCTGGGAGGCTTGAGCTGGCCAGGGTGCTTCAGCCACTCGCCCCCAGCCACAGCGGAGGCAGTGGTCACCCAGCAGCGGGCGCTCCTTGCCACCCTCCACCATTTGAATTTCCCACCATGGACCCACGGAGGGTGGCACGGAGCAAGCAGGAGGTGAGCTGGTAGGCAAGTGGATGAAGAAACCCAGCTAGCTCAAGTCTCCTGGCGCTGGGTGACCGCTGCCTCCGCCACGGCCGGGGGCGAGCGGCCGAAGCACCCGGGCTAGGCTCAAGCCTCCGGGCAGCGGTGGTCGCAGTGGTGGTGGAGCCAGGGCCAGGAAGAAGCAGTGGAGGTAAGGGCTGCTTTTAACTTTTTACTGTTTTGGGTTGCTTTTGCAGGGTGGGATTGGGCTGGGGGATTATGCTTAGGTTTATTTTAGATTTGTTTGCGGTTTTTTGCAGGCCCAGGGTCTTGCAGTGTTTTATTTTTATTTGGGGAGGGGTATTTTTTCCTTCGGCCAGAATGGATTAATCCATTTTCAATGCATTCCTATGGGAAATGGTGCTTCGACTTGCGGAAATTTTGACCTACGGCCGCCGTTCCAATACGGATTAATCCCGTAAATCGAGGCATCACTGTAGTGTGAGCAGAGAATAGAATGCTCAGTCAACCAAATGACATCTCTATTATATCTTAAGAATTTGTTTGTATTATTTTGTTATAAAAAACCAGACCACTGTTTCCAAATGCATTTAAGTAAGCAACTTACTACAGTCATAAATTCTTGAGGGTTCAAATGTCTTCTGATTATGAATTCCTCTGAACTTACAGCCTGTTGTATTAAATTTGCTGCAGCCAAAACCAGCCATATATGCGATCTGTAATGAAAAAGGTAGAACAATAATGTAGTTCCATATGAAATATCCTATGCTGTTTGAAAATGTGAGTTTTCAAGAGAGAATATTTGAGTGAAATACGTACTGAAAACATGTAGTGAAATACAGGAAAAATATCTTAAAGTGTATTAAACCAGGTTGCTAAGAATGGTAATCATCCAGTTTATAACGCCGGTTTTATTTTTTTTAAAGCAAAACATTTTATTACCATAAAACGTATCTTCTAGGAATGCTCTCCAACCCCGAGAATCAGTTAAAACCTTCTTTAGAAAATACCACATTTCCCTTGAAACAATCCAGACTTAGTCTGCTTCAACTCATTCCTAAATCAAAACTGGGATGTTCATGTCAAAATTCCAAATAGAAAATAGCTATAACAGTAATCATCTTTGTTATATATGCTATACAACACATTGATTGAAATTCTGTTGGCATAAATGTATACTACACAGACCAGATGCCATCATTATTGGGTGGTTGAAATCTTACACTTTATGAAATTAAAACTCTCTCCACTCCCCCTTCAGGTTCTGAGATTCCCTAGGGATCCATTTTTTCTTAGTAATTCTTTGGCCCCCTCTAGATGGTGTGGGAAGCTTTTAGGATTGGAACATCAATGTGTGGGAAGCTTTTAGTATTAGAACATCAATATTGGTGAGTCAACCCAATTCCAGATAATCCTGTTTGGTAAGGGGACGGGTGCATGAACTAATTGCCTCAGTTAAACTTACTCTACAGCAGAGAAAGCGAAACCTATAAAAAAGCAGACTGCAGTCTTGGTGGTGGATGACAAGACACAGCACGCAGCTTATTTGAAGTTCATTAACATGGAAGTATAAATGAAAGAGCTGCAGAATAAGTGCAAGGAGCTGCTGATGCTGCTACAAATAACTTAGAAGTGTAATATTGATGACTGAAGCTGGAAACAGAAGAAACTGAAACTGAATCATAATAGATTGGCAGTCGGGGGGGGGGAATCAGAATTACTGAGTGTGAGAAAAATGTCTTGGACTCAACTTCAGTGCCTGACCTGCTTTAGAGGAAGGGGCTGAGGGTGCAACTCTGTTAGCTTTGTGTTGACTTGTTGCATTGTTTCATTCAATTTAGCTGGCCACACAAAGATCCAGGGTTGTTTCAGTGCCAGTATCAATGATGGCCCCTCAATCCGATGTGCATCGACCCATGCCCACAGCCTCTTTCCTTAGGTACCACCCTCCTGCCAATGCCTGGCTCTCCTTTCATAATCTGCCATCAAGATGCGGGAACTATTTAAAGGGCTGCACAACAGTAGGGGGAAAGGGACACTCTTCTCAAGTTCTCCATTCTGCAAACATATACACATACATACTATGGAAAAAATTGTAGTTTGATGGAGTTTATCAGAGTTCTTTCAATTTTATACTGATTTTTTATCTTTGTGTAGAGGTGATCTAGCATTAAACTGATGTATGTAGCAATGCAATAATAAGATGATACTGTACTAGAGTCAATAGTGTCCTAAAGTATCACACCCCAACTTAGTACGTCACATCCAAAGTTACGCCTCCCGAGTCCTTTTGTAGAATGAAACAAACAATCGCACAGGAGAAACACTGTTTGAATTGTTGCAGACCTGGGACTTGGTACCAAAGGCTTGGACTCAGACCCAAAGACTTGCCAACATCCCTGCCCAATTCAGCTTGGCCTTGCACTTAACCTAAATACAGTGGTGCCTCGCTAGAGGTTGATAATCTGTTCCACTGAAATAGCTGTTTAGCAAAATCATTGTCTAGTGAAAAGCATTTCCCCGTTGGAATGCATTGAAACCTGTTTAATGCGTTCCAATTGGGGAAGAATCGTCGTTGTCTAGCAAAGATCGGCCATAGGAAAACCACTTTGTGAACTGCCAACCAGCTGTTCAGATCGCTGTCTTGCGAAGCTTAGGTCCCGAAAACACCTGTTTTGCGAGCACAGAAGAAGCTGTCAAAATCGTCATCTAATGAAAATCAGTTTGCGAAGCAGGGACCCAACATTGTTCAGCGAAATTCCCCCATAGGAATCACTGTTTTGCGAATTGCTATAGCGATCACAAAAAGTCAATGTCTAGCGAAAAAAATGTCATGCGGGGTAACTGTCTAGAGCAGTGGTTCTTAACCTTTGTTTCTCAGGTGTTTTTGAACTGCAACTCCCATAAACCTCAGCCAGCAGAGCTGATGGTGAAGGCTTCTGGGAGCTGCAGTCCAAAAACAACTGAGTAACAAAGGTTAAGAACCAGTGGTCTAGAGCACATATTTCTTATTTTCAAGGCAATTAGTTATGCATGAATGCCATGGACTCACTTTGTAACTTATTAGGTTCTCTGACTTTTCTCAGAGAAACCTTTTAAAAAATAGATTTCCTGCCAGTCATCTGCACTTCTCATTTGTTCACCTCACACCCCTCCTGAATAAACCCGCAATACATACTGGGAGGGAGGGCTACTAGGTCTCCTGACATTGGCTAAGCTCTCAGAGATCAGCTCCACCGCCAAAGGTCTACAGGGTGCCCAATGCTGGAGAAAGAAGAATTTGGGTTTGTACATGTGAAATGACTTCAGAGCCCACTCATCTTCATCCATTCCCAGTTGTTGCCAGAGCTCATCATGAAGTTCCTTTCATGTGTCCATTTGCAAAGGAGCAAAGGAAGGGACTAGTGAAAAAGCATGGGTGTATCCATTAAAATAGTTGTCTGACAAAAGATGTAATTTAAAAGCAGTAGAAAGGTTTTTTTTAAAAAATCTCATATTAAGTGCATGGACTCTACCAGATAGAGTGGGATTGAACTCTGTCTCACTTTTACTGATTATACAGTACTTGATGATATTAATGTCTAATTGTGAATTTGACAACTGAAAATATAAGCTTTTAAAACACAAGACAAAAATATATTGCCAAATTCAAATTAAAAATGTACACCGAGAAAAATACTTTTCCTTACCTGTCTCCGTTCATCAGTACAGACTAGATTCCAAGTGAATGCTGCAAACAACTGGACTGAAACAAACTACAAGGATTAACACTGATTTCACCATGTATATTATGCAACTTGCTGACTATGTGAGATAATGTAATTAAAGGGCGAACCAGAGCTAAGGAAATATTTGAATTGAATTCTCTTCAGACATCAAAGGCCATCAGCATGCTTACAGGAGGAGCAAGCCTATACATGCTTTTTATAACTTTGGTTGTCATGAATATGTATCTGTCTTTCGCAACCTAAAAGAAAAGTACAGGCTGTTGACAAGAAGAATGTTTTTTTTTCTGAGATGCCCTCATCATAATGTCTAGGTGAGGTGAACCTCTCATCTCAAGGTGAACCCACTATGCTGAGGAAGGGAAGCATCAAAATTGACTGCTGTAATGCACTTTATGTGGGGCTTCCCTTAAATCTGGTATGGAAACGCTCTCCTGTAGGAGGTAAGGCAGGCACCCTCCCTTTGCATATTTAAAAAAGCTCTTAAAAACTGAGCTGCTCAGAGAAGCTTTTGGGGAGGTTTTCCCCAGTGGCTGGGAAGGTAGATAGAGGAATATTGTTGTGTATGTTTCATTATGGGTACTGCTGCCAGTCGTACTGATTTTGTGTCCCTAAAACCAATGCTCTTTCATACTATTAGGCTAATAGGTTTCAAGAACTGGATCCCCAGTTCCTGGCACGAAGTGCAGTGTACAACAGAAGACTTGAAGCAGAGCAAGCCATCATGCAATCTATTGTACTTAGCAGTACAATGGATGTAGAAAGTCTATGTTATCCCAAAGTGCCCGGCAGGCAGCAAACACCTTGCTGCCAAGAGAGGATATTGGTGACTAATTTAAAATAATCCACTTACTCAAATGCCAGGTTATGTTTCTTAAGGAGTAATCTCATAATTGCTTCTTCTAAAAAAACTAATGCCACCCCTTCCAACAAGGAGCAGTGTGACACCTCTTGGACAAAGCTGGAACAGCCCTGGCCCCATTTGCTGTATTGCCATATGGGTGGGTGGGTGTGTAAGAGGCAAGTACACAGATGGTTGACCACCCTTTGTCATGCACCTTATCCTCCAGCCATACTAAATGAAACCAGAATGAGACAGTGCTCTCCCACCAGCTCCAATAGCTCCACCACTAGGAATAACTCCATGGGCTCCAGGAATAGCCTTTATTTTCATAGACAGGCACTCAGGAAAAGAAATGGAGGCTTTACCTCTGTTTGGGAGCTTCCAGGGAGTGATGGGTTATGTTATATTATTTATATACCACTCCATTAGTGCAATGCACTATTCTCGGCAACTTATAAACTTATAATGATAAAAACACAGCAATGAATAGAATTAAAATAAAAATACAGAGAAATTAACAAAACAAAAAAAACCTCAAAGAGGCATAATCTACAGTTTAGACACAGAATGTAAGGCATATTGAAAAATCCGGCAGGATTACAGTGAAAGGCCTTTCTGAAATGTAGTGCTTTCATGTGCTTTTAAACTTTGGGAGGGAGGGGGCCAGGTGCAGCTCCAGCAGGAGTTGATTCCAAAGCCTTGGTGCCACCATGAGGAAGGCCCTGCTTCTGGTAGATGATTTCCTGGCCTCTTTCGGAGTAATATCCAGAGGGGCGTTGCCTAGTGGTGTGGACAGATGACATTTGGAAAAGACACGGGGAGAGTTCCTTGCACTAATCTACCAGGGAATGTCCTTTCGAGAAGGGCCCTGTTAACATCACAGGAGACTCAGAGACTCCATATAAAGGGAGGGGAGAATGGATCTGCCCTCTGTTATAGTCCCTTTAACAATGGCCAGTAGAAGTGTGGGGTGTGCACTGGGGTCTGCTTCTTTGCTCCTCCTGGATCCTCCTTCATCTCTCTTGCATTGGCACTTTCACCACCAATGCCACAGCTGGATTGGAGTAGGCACCCCTGCTTCTGCTGGATGGCATGGGTGCCAGAGTCTTGGAGGTGGTAATGCTGGCTCTCAAATATCTGGCTCTTGTCCATATTCCCATCCTCTCCTCACCTGGATCTGCTGCTCACGGCTGCTCTTCCCACCAGCTTTCCACCTAGCCCAGATAGCAGAATTAGGATCTCAAGTTTTGATGGCCTACCCCCAGGTCTCTTCCTCCTCTGAAGTCTCCACATCTACTTCCAAACCTCTCAAGGAAGCCCCTCCCTGAGTCCTCCTCTCCCTCCTCCTTTATTCCAGCACACCACATTTTCCTCCTCCTCTTCCTCCTTCTGTAGGTGACCCTCATCAGGTGGCTGCTTTGTGGACAGCTGTTCTCCCTCTCCCTGCCTGCCAGGAGACGGAAAGCCACGGCCTCTCCAAGGCTCTCCCAGGGTTTCAGGGTGAGTAGAAAAAAAGGGACCAGACTCTAGGTAACCACGCAACCTATGTTATCTCCTTGCAAGTGTACTGCTAGCCATTTAGCTGAGCTGTGTGGTGAAAGCTCAGAAAGAAAGACCTACATCACTGTTTAGAGACCTCTGCAGTATTCTAGAAAATTCTTCTTTTTCTTCTCTCACTCAGTTTAGTTTACTAAACTCTATTGGGCAAAATCCTGCTAGCACAGTTCCATGGGTATAAACCAAACTGGAGCACAGGAAATAATTAATATAAATTATTTAAAGCTTGTTATCCCTAAGTTTCATTTTCTGGAGCTCCCTAGAGCTCCCTTTTGCCCTGGGGGAGCCTTTAGGAGCCTTGGGATGATGGGGGTGGGTGGGTTTAAAAGTAACAAAATTCGCAGATCAGTGGCATTTTTTCCTTTTAAAGCCTCTCCCTGAACAGTTCCAAAGCTCTCAAAAGCTCCAGAAGCTGAAAAGACAGAATAAGACTCTCTTCACTATCCAACAAGCAGCAATAGAGCATGGACAGAGTTCCTACTCCTGTCCTCTGAAGATGCCGGCCACAGAGACTGGCGAAATATCAAGAACAACCTTCAGGATACGGCCAAAGAGCCCGAAAAACCCACAACAACCATTAGATCCCGGTTGTGAAAGCCTTCATGAATACAGAGATTAAGACACTTTAGATTTGAATTTGAATTTATTGTTTCCAGTGCCCTAATCAGGTTTATGCAGCACAAAGTTATACAACAGATTGAGACTGAGAGTGATTGTGAAAGGATGGTTCCTATATGGACTTTCAGTGGATAGGTCACGCAGCTACAGTATAACTTAGCTCCCCATCTCCACCCAGGTTATAGTCATTTGTATGTCCTCTCCAGTTGCAGGATTTTTCTTTTCCCAGAGATCCAGAAATACAAGGATAATGTCACAGATCTTGGGATGGAGTACATTGGAATATCTTCTAAGGGTACAATTAGTATACTTTCAATGCAAGTACAGTTCCACTGCCAGAAAGAAGATGTAACTCATAACATCAAATTGCCACTAATTAATGAGTCCCCGCTTGGATTCTTCATTGCACACCAATGGTGTGGTTAATCAGCAGCAATTTGCTGCTTTGAATTAGACCATTTCTCTTTCATCAGCATAACTACTCAAGAGGTTTTGGGCCAAAATAAAGTAAGAAGCAAGATGAATATACTGTAATGTGTAACTCAAATCCTTGGGCATTCAGTGCAGTTATAATTTCCTTATTTTCGGCCTTTATTTGTCTTATGATTTTTTAAAATCATTTCACCCATTTTTAAATTTCTATCTCCAGTTACTGAACATATTTCAATATCCATTAGTTTTTGAATAATAAATGCTGGCAGTGTATACTATGTGTGTTTAAGGCAAAGGAAAAAGAATTCCAGCCCACACAAGCAGTAGGAGAAGCCCTGCTTCCTGCAGTGCAGAAACCTTCTCTTGCATATTGCTGGCTGTGTTGGAGAGCTACCTTTACCACTTAACCCTCCCAATAACTCCCTACCAAGGGACGAAGATGAACCAGTTGGCTCTGGGTTGTAGAGTGTGTATGGGATATTTCCATCTCAGGAAAGCTCATGTGTAGTGGAGAAGGGGACTGGCACACATATCACTGCTTTACATAGCCGTGCCACGTACATCATCATCTCATGTATTACAACTTCCAGGGGGGAGTGGGTGTCATCGATCCTCTAACACTAAAACAATGTTCCTTAAACCCTCAAATAATGGGAAAAGCACAAAAAGATTTGGGAAGCAAAGACACCAAGGGAATTAACCTAGAATGTCAGCCGAGATGCCAATCCCAAAATTTAATCTGATGAGATCAGCTAGCTTTTCTGAAATTCTGCATGATTTCCACGAGGTCATCATATAATTCTTGACGTGCATCAAGCCCAAAGAGAAAATCGTAATGCATCCAATGAGGAATTTCTTTGTGGTATACTACATTCCCAAGAACAGGAAGTAACAGTTTCGTGTCCTCTGGTGTTCCCATGATGTCTTGTCCACCACTGAACACAATGGTTTGTACCTGTGAACATTTTATGTTGTATACGGGAGGAATCGACTAAAGAGAAAAGCACAAAAACAAATCTCTGTAAGGTGTGGCATTGTTACAAAAACTTCTAATATTCTAATATCTCTTGGCTTATTTATGGCTTGAGATAGTTCTTTTCTCTCTTATATTATCTGCTTATGCAGCTGTCTTCTGTTTGTGTTTTTAAAAGCCAGAACGTTTTCAGTCCATGAGTGTTCAACCCATATTTGGACGCTTGGAGAAGCACTTTCAGGAATGGCTCTGAATTCATTATCCCACCTTCTCTCAGAGATCTGTGCTCTCAGTTTCCCCAGGTAATAGATCTTTCCAGACACAATAATCCCTCTAGATGTTGGCAGCACCATCACTTTTCCATCTTATTTATATTCCATTACTGCATTCATTCCATTACCATAACCTTCCAACACATTGGATTTTTCTACCTACTCACAAACAGCATTTCTAGGGGATAAATGCAAATCCTCACATGGGTGGAGGAAGAACTGCAAGATTCTTCTCCTTACTGGTGAGAATTTCCTGCAACTATTGACAGAGCTCAAACATTGTCAAGAACAACATTTTGTATTTTAAAAAAGTCTCTTTCCTGTGCAAATATTTCCAGATTTTTGCACAAAAATGCCAATTTCGTACAATTGTGCAAACTGAAACTAGAGTGAATTCTCTTTTTTTGACTTCTTTGAAGCACAGAATGGGGCGAACAGTGGCTCACACATGGGTAATCTCAAAAATAGACTACTGTAATGCACTCTACATGGAGCTGCCCTTGAAAACAATATGGAAACTTCAGCAGGTCCAAAATGTAGCAGCCAGACTGATTACTGGAATTAGTAAATTCAGTCATATCCAGTCTTGGTATGCCTTCATTGACTCCCTGTTAGTTTCCATGTTCAATTTAAAGTTCCGGTTATGCTTCATAAAGCCCTTAATGGTTTAGGACCTTGATAGTTGTGGGATCTTGTCTCTCAGAAATTAGTTCTCAGTCCAACCTACTCAATCCATATTGTTAAATGTGCCTACACCAAGGGAGGCCACAAAGGTGTATGAGGAATTGTGCCTTTTCAAGTCTCTGGAATAGAACGCCGACAGTGATGTGTCAGGCTTCTTCCCTCCTTGCATTTAGAAAGATGGCGAAGCCAGAATTATTCAAAGCAGCCTTTATCTACTGAATCTCCTGAGTATTGTGATTTTCAAATTCTTAAATTTATTTTAGATTTTTTTCATAGAGTTATTTATAATTTATGGTTATAATTATTGTTTGTTCTATTGCTGTATTTTTGTTTTTTGGTGCAGTGAGGGTTTGTGAGTTTTTAGCTCAGTGTAAACCTGAGTGTAGTGCTTACACTACACTAGTGTAGTGCTTACATTAATGGGGTTGTATAAATACTTAATGGATGGTTTCCTTCCTTTTCTAATTATCAACCAGTCCTTTTGTACTATTTGTTTTGTTCCCAAAATAGAAATAAAATAATATAAAGCAAAACAAATCAAAAAGGTGTTCCAAAGGGAATCAGTCTTAATTATTCCCACTGACTGCTAGTACAGGAGAGAGCCTTCTCTGTTATCACTCCCAGACATTGGAACTCCCTCCCACAAGAGGCCAGACCTTCTCTTCAGGCAAACTTTTTATCAGTACCCTGAGTGACTGGCTACATGGCTGGCTACATGAGTGACTTTTAGGTGGATAGTTATGCATTACTGCTCTGAGTGAGTCTTTAGTATTATTTATGTTTACCATCTCTCCGAGTGGTATTTGTTTATTCCTTTTAGTATTTGCATACTTTTTAATTTTGTCTTTTAATGATCTAAGCTGTCTTACATCAATCAATCAATCAATCAATCAATTTTCCTTAGCTTTAAATAGTGTCTTTTAATTATGTAAACTACCATTGTATACTCATTGTTTTCAACTTTAAATATTGTCTTTCAAGGATGTAAGCCACCTTGGGTCCTTTTAAAGAAGAAAGGTGAGGTAAAAATATTCTAAATAAATAAATAGTTCATTGTCTTATTTCTTGGTAGCACTTACACGTGACAGATTTTACTTTCTTGAGCTCCATGAACATACAAACAAACCATGGGCTTTTAATCATGGTTTATATTTATGTATCTGGAACATAGCTTTCATTGTTTTTTTAAAAATTAGTCCTCGTTTACCTGATTATATTTCTTGATATTTTCAGAACCGTAGTCAAAAGCTTTGAGCTCTCCACTTTGTTTTACCTGAAAAACAAAGAAAACATCATAAAGAACCAGGAGAAGTGTGCATGTTTTTATTTTGCTCTGAAAATTCACAACCTGGGATAATTTAATTTTGTTTTTTTAGGAAAAAGGTTTTGCTTCTGAAATCTTGTTTATATAATATGTTACATTTATCAGTACAGTCTTTAGCCATGAGACTTCGATTAAAACTGTCCGCTCACACACACCTTGACAGAAGAAATTACTCTAAAATAGTTTGTGGTATAAACAATTATTACAAATTATATTTCTATTTTGATGTGAACATGTTTTTTTAATTTCATTTAAGAATATTTCACACACAGACTTGTTTATCAAAATGAACATTTCCCACAGTAGGAGAATAACTACTATTTCACATAAATTAATAACATAAAAACATGTTTACCTGGGCCCAGTGCAAGATATTTTTAACTGATGTACAGTCAGGTAAATGTGAAGCAATGACATCAATGCGACTCTGGGGATGAAGAGGAAGAAACCATTTCAAACAGAACTGAGTAAGCTTGTGGTGCTCCATCAGATTAGCTCCAATTATTAAAATAAGTTAAAACATACCATGTCTAGATTATCTTTGGCAATTCCACCTGATGAGAAAAGCAGTTTGACACAAAGTTTCCTCCAGAAATCCTTTTTGCATGTTTTAGCAATGAAGGCTCTTGCCTTATCGTCATGTAGAACGCAAAATTCTTTCTTACCCAGAAAAGCCTGTAACATAGGATAATGGTATCCAAGTTGAATCTTCAGTGCATTTGAACTTGCATAGGTTTCTTTTTCTATATATACAGTTTTATAAACTCCATTTTGGTGTCAAAATATCAAAATAAGTTGCCAATGTTTCATTGCCTCCTGAGTCAACTTAATCCTTTTTTCAGAAGACTTACCCATCTAATGAACCAATATGTGAACCGGAAACAATGGCAGACCTTCAGTGTGGCTCACAAGAGCTTGCCCTGCGCCCCTCTGTCTGTGTGTTCTCATGTGCCATCAAGTTACTTCTTATTTACGATGACCTTAATAGGATTTTCAAAGTATCTGAGATGTCTAAGGAATGGTTTACCATTGCCAACTTCAGTGAATTTCCATGACTGAGTAGAGATGAGCCCTACCTAGTACCATGGCCAAAGTAGAGGTGGACCCTATAGTTCGATCTATCTGCAGGGCTGAAAGTCCCACACAATTGTTTTCATACTCTCGGGACATTTTTTGCAATAGACAAGCCATACTTTTCACATACATGTCACCTGATCGAATGATGGACATTTTGCTGTGGATTTCATTCTGGGAATGGGTATGGCATTGTGAGTAACAAGAGTGTGAACTAGAGCAATAGGTTTACTCTCCCAAGATCTCATTGAGATAAGCATTAAAATGATCAGAAGAGCATGACTGCATTTTTCTGAACCAATAAAACCCCACCTCTTGGACTTGTGAATGTTAACTTGTTCAGTGTATTGGAGTGAGATTTAAGAGGCTGAAGGTGGAGACAAATGCAGTAAGGGAAGAGTATTCCTGGGAATACCAGAACATGCAACCCAGAAACCCAAATCAGAAAAACTGTACCCTCATTCCCCCCAGCAACAGAGGAAAGCTTTTCTGTGATTTACCTCCACCATCCTTTTCCTGTTGCTTCCTATTGTTTATTTGTTGTTGTTATTAAGGTAGCTGCTGCAGAATTTCTTGGGAGTCGTAGTTCTTTGGCAGGCACCCTCTACACAGCCTAATAGGCATCAAGAGTACAACTCTCAGAAAGCAGCACAGCAGGTTCCTTTTTTTAAAAAAAAACTAATCAACAACACACAAAACCAAACAAAAGCCCTCATTTGAAGGGAACAAACTGAAGCCCAAAAACACAAAAGAGCCATTTCTAATGGATAGCTCAGATGTTTCGGTGTAAGTTCAGTTCTCCACTGTGCCACCTTGACAAGGGCTGGTCCTCAACAATTCACAAGGTCTCTTCTTGCTCTGCAATTCTAAGATCATCATCATCATTGGGACTCTCTTGTTTTTAGTTTTCTAATGAGCTGTGAGATCATGGTTCAAATGTAATATCCCCAAATAACAATTTCTTAACATCAGAAACACGCACACCAGCATGTAAGAACAGAAATATTGGACTGAATGGGCGAACTATTTTATGGATTGCTATAGTGATCTGTTGGCACACTTCCAAGATTGACTCTATGAAACAGGTTAACCATTTTTAATGAACTTTAGATTAAAAGAGGTCAGAGCCCCACAAGAAACCCAAGGAAGTAAGTGGTGGGTCCACACCTTATGTGTGTGTTACATATCTATGTAAGACACATTCACAATCACTCTATTAAAGGGAATAGAGTGGGGTATATTTAACTTTTAACCCATTTATTTCACTTGATTACAGTGTTGACTCTTTTTCTGGCCCACCTTAAGATACAAAAACAATAGTTAAATAATGAGATGATGACAATGACAATAAAAATTGCACATACCTTTCCCAAATTTTCAGCAAAAATTGCTAGCCTAGGATATGGGGATCTAGTGTGATTCAGTGAAGCCACAGGACCAAGTGCAAAAAATATTTTGATTTTCTGAGCCAATTTAGGCATGGCTGAAAATGCAATGAAAGCTGGAAGCAAAGAACATTATATTATATATTATATTATTATATTATATTATATTTATACCCCGCCCATCTAGACCGTCTACTCTGGGTGGCTATTAATTATTAATTACATTAATTACATTAGCCTCAGAAACATTACCCAACCTAGAGCTATATCTGACAACAGGGCTTTATCCGTTCAAGCCTGTGGATAAATACCTATATATTCATATATACTGGTGAAAGTATTGGGCATTTTAGCAATCAGATGATGCACAATTTATCATGTTATTTATAACTGTCAGTATGATGAAGAGGTAACAGTTGGGGAGTGGGGGGGCAGAATAAACCCTTCATTGATAAAGTATTGTAATTAAAGAAAAGTGATAGTTCCCATCCATATTTGTCCTAAGCATTCTAGCAAAATGTATGTCTCTGCCCCAAAGGGGCCAAATCCAGATGCTGTTAAAATTTTTGGCTAAAACTGGTTGGTGTCTCTACATCTAGTCATCTGCCTGTGCCTCTTGTCTACTGCTGGAATGCTGCCTCCCTTCCCCAATAACTTATCTGAAATCCAATTAGCTCTTTAGATTATTTATTGAGTAAGATTCATGTAGGACAAATAGTGCAGGGAAGTCACCATCATCTCCTGTGAAGCTGGATACAAAGGGAGTCGGGGCAGTTCATGAACTGGGATGGAGGAGCTTTCCCTAAATTTTCCAAAAGAGGCACCCCCCTGCCATGATCATGGGTCATCCTTGGTGCAGTGGGATTGGTTATAGTCAAGAAGATCAGTCGGGAGGTACAGCAAGAAGCCTATGGGGAGGTGGACTTCAAACACATCATATTTCAGCGATGGAATCTTCTCCCAATGGATGCTGATGGTGTGTCTATCTGAACTCTGTCAAGTGCTGTGCAAATAGTTTATTATTTTCCTCCTTCTGCCTAATTTTTATCACTTTTCTGCTACATTGTACTTTAATATCTCCTTATTACTAGATTTATGGTGCTCTATGCAGTTTGTACATTTTGTTTTATATTTTGCTTATTTTGCTTGTTTTGACATATAAAGCCCTAAACGGCTTGGGCCCTGGATACTTGAAGGACCGCCTCCTTCCATATGAGTCTACCCGGCAGTTAAGATCTACCCAGGGGGCCCTTTTGAAAGAGCTGTCCCTTAAGGAGGTAAGAGGGATGGCTTGTAGACAAAGGGCCTTCTTGGCAGCTGCCCCCAGACTATGGAACGCCCTCCCAACTGAAATTCGTCTGGCACCGACGTTGATGACATTTCGACGCCAGGTCAAAACCTTTCTGTTCCAGAAGGCTTTTAATTGAAATAACATCAACTGTGGGTCCTGATGGCAATTTTATTTGTATTTTATTTGTATTTTAGTTGTATTTTAACCATTTTATTTTTATTGTATTGAATTTTAATTATTGTAAGCTGCCCAGAGACCTCTGGGTAGAGTGGGCGGCATATAAATTAAATAAATTAAATAAATTAAATAAATTAAATAAATTAAATAAATTATTGCAATTTCAGTTCCTTGTAAGACCAGTGTAATAACATGAGCAGATATCATGCAAGGAACCGTGTGAGCTAAAAGTCAGCCTACTTCCTGATTTTTCTTGTCCCGTGGCAAACTCTAGTTCACGTTGGTTTTAATTCAGTTGGATTAATAAAATCACTTAAGTTGAGTGGCTCTTTCATATAGCAACTTCTCAGCAGAGGGTAAAACCTCAACAGCCCTGATTACGAAGATCAGGTTGTTTTCAAATACAAATTCAAAAAGGTAATTCCACTCCATCCTTCTTTGATTGTTTCCCCTTCTTCTTCACGCATATGACATTAATTACATATTGATCCCTTTACTGCTCTTTTCCTTTTGATCTAAAAGGCGAATGATTATAAAGCTGTTTCTATATGCTGTATTACATTTTATCTATGCACTCCCAGGTTTCACATGCTGTCCCTTTCACATGAGGATTCCTTATTTACTCCAATGATTCTATTAAGTCCCTGGTCACATGAGGGAAATGCTCTCTAATCATCCCCGCCTGGTTAGTTTGTTCCTTTTTTTTTTCTAGTCACACAATGCAGAGACAAGATTAAAATAGTTTCCCAGCTGGCGTTATAGTTGTGGAACATTTCCTCATTGCCAGGAGGGTTGTGTTATTTTGTACCTTTGTTGTGCCAGTGCATTCTTTCCTGGGATTACCTGTGTGCGCAACCTGCCCCGTTTCTTTTCAGAATCAAAGCCAGGAAGGTGCCCCCCACTACTGCAGCACAAACATTATTTTTTTAAAAAAAATGTGTCCAATACTTTGAAACGTTGGTAAAAGTATGTCACTGGGGGCCGCCAGCACTACCTTACTGTTGAGTATTTTTTTTCCTATGGGAAGATACATTGAAATATCGGTATGCCAATGTCACTGGGGAGAGGGAGGTGATTGCCAAATGCATTGTGTGGAGCCACCAGTGCAATAGAGGGACACTTTCCTAAACAGAAACCCCATCCCGATCAATGTTTGCTCTAATTTCCACCACCCCCATGTGTGAGTCCACCTTCCCCCCCCATGTGAGGTTCCTTTGCTATCAGAATGAAAGGGGCTAGAAATGATAGCTGTGGGTGCATGGGGGGGAAGCTGTGCAAGGGGGGGCAGAGTCAAGCACATTTGCACAGTCTCACACCTTAGAGGGAGACTTGTTTCTTATATATCAATATATAGATAAATTTTATTATTTAAATATAATAGCTGGCCATAACAATTCAAATAAGATGAAATAAATTGGTACTTCTAAAAGCTCTTGGGACATTCATCCTGGGTTATAAACCACATGACCACGATTTAGTACAACAGGGGTATGGAAAGTATCAGAAGAACTAGAAAACATTTCCCTTGTGTGACCAGGGCCTACGTTGTGCATGTGGGCTGAACCCTGTTTGCAACCTAGAAGGCTGCGGCCAGTCAATGCAGACCACACTGGTCTGATTTAACATAATGCAGTTTCCTATACCCTCTTTACTTACTTTGAAGGGGAAAAACACGTTATATCATACAAATGATGTCATTACCTGTATGTGCTTGTCACCTACCAATAACCTTTCAGATAATCTTAACAACCCCTGTTAAAATCTGTGGTGTTTTTTTTTACCTCCCAACGACTGTACAAGATACTTAACAGCCATATTCTTCCTTAAGCAAGGCATACATGTTCTCCTATATGAGGGGGTCTTTGTTTACACAGAGCACTGGTCAGCTTGTCCTCTGTCATTAATCAACTTGATACTCTGCTATTGGACAACATACCTATAGTGGTACCCTGAGAATGACCTATGTAAAAGATTTGTTCCTGTCCAGTTTTAGCTACGACAAAATTTATAATGGCTGGCAAGTCATTCATCCCCATTTCATGGAAACTGCAACAAAACAAAAGGACAAGTGATTCAACATTATTATAGAATGGCATTACTCCAGCAATCTTTGATTGATAAAATAAGAAACATCAGTTTTTAGGATTTTGCTTCGTTCGTTCGTTCGTTCGTTCGTTCGTTCGTTCGTTCGTTCGTTCGTTCGTTCGTTCACAGTGCATTAGGAATCAAAGATTGTGAAGACTTACTGCCTTCGAGTCCATCTCCCTGCAATGTATGAGTCATTTCCCCACCTCATTTTACTTTCAAGAGTCCTCCTGGCAGCCTTAAGACAAACAACCATGAGGCCTTCTGGTAAAGCTCACCTGGTTCAGCTACATGGCTTGCTTCAAAGAAGGGGTGAGCATTATGAGGCCCACATGGCACTCTAGCTAGTAGAAGAAGAACTATGCTATATCAGTAGTGCATCCGGAAGAAAGGTTTCAGCAGCCATTAGGAAATATAATCTTCCCAGGATTATAATCTTCCCATACTGTCTTTCCCATAATCACAATGCTTCTTCCTGGGACTGGAACATTGACACTGCTGCCGCCGCCAAAGAAAGGTCCAGATTTGCAAGAGGCATAGTGAGAGCAGATCTGCCTTAAAACTTCCTCTCTCCCCACCCTTTGGCCATCTTATTTTCCACTTTGCCTTCTGTCAAGTCGCTCAGAATTCCATGGGTGAATTCCATGCTCAGTTCAAACTTGGTTCTGAAGGGTCCCCTTCCCTCTCTCCTAATTTTGCCCACAAAAATGGGTTGTTGTTGTTGTTGTTGTTGTTGTTGTTGTTGTTGTTGTTGTTGTTGTTGTTGTTGTTGTTGTTGTTGTTGTTGTTGTTGTTGTTGTTGTTTTACTTTAGCATATATTATAGAATTCCCCATACTCTGCTCATGTCTCCTTATTGTACAGTGGTAGAGCCATTTTTAATACATATCCACCAGTATGCATCTTGCAACAGTGGATACAGATGGGACAATGATATTCATAAGTTGCAACTACATAAAAAGTGTACTAGCACTGAAAGACACTGTGGCACTGTTCAAATACATATAAAGGAACTGGATGGATTAATCACATGATAATTAGAAGGGCCCTATAAGGCCATTGAGTTCAACCCCCCGCTCAATGCATGAATCCAAGTCAAAGCAGATTTGACAGATGGTTGTCCAATTTTCTCTTGGATGCCTCCTGTTTTGGAGCACTCACCACCTCTCGAGGTAATTGGTTCCACTGTCTTCCTGCTCTAACAGTTAGGAAGTTTTTCTTGATGTTCAACCAAAATCCAGTTTCCTGTAACTTGAGCTCATTGTTGCATGTCCTGCACTCGGGGATAATCAAGAACAGATTCTGCCCCTCCTCTGTATGACTGCTTTTCAAATATTTGAAAAGTGTGATCGTATTTCCCCTCAGACTTCTTTTCTCAAGGCTAAATATGCCCCGTTCTTTCAGTCTTTCCTCATAGGTCTTGGTTTCCATTCTCATAATCATTCTTGTTGCCCACCACTGAATTTGCTCCATTTTTTGGCATCCCTCTTAAAATGTGGTGTCCAGAACTGGACACATTACTCTCGATGAGGCCTAACAAGTGCTGAATAGAGGGGAACTAGTATCTCACAGGATTTAGAGACCGTGTTTTTGTTAATGCATCCTAAAATAGCATTTGCCTTTTTTTCAGCCACATTGCACTATTGGCTCATATTCAGCTTCTGACCTACAACAATCCCAAGATCTTTCTTACTTGTAGTATTACTAATCCAAGTATCCCCATCTTGTAACTGTGCATTTGGTTTCTTTTCATATAATAAAATTATATGAAGGCAAGTACTATTACATGGGGGGGGCGCATTCAAATGCTAGATTACAGGCTTTGTGTCATTCAACCTACCTGAAATCCCAGAATTCCTCTTGATCAATGGAAAAATTCTGATGTCGTTTACACCATCTGCTGCCTCTATTATTTGCCAGCCAAACATCAAAGCCAGCATCTGCCAGTACAAAACCCAGGCTGTTGTTGGGCTTATTAACCACCCAGATGCCAGCATTTGTAAGTATACCAGGTAACACTAAAACAGCAGGCTTAGAAGCTGAAAACAAATGATTGGGAAAGAGGAAAAAAGAAACAAACTAGTCATTCAGATTTGACAGACAATAGTTGCAGATTTATGATGCAGCTACGTTGCAGTGCGTGGGAAGGACACCATCCCATACTTGTTCAGCAGAGAGTGCTTTAAGTGCTATGGGGTGGTATATAAGCATCATGCTTTTCTTTTTTCTTTGCTATCTGTATATCTGTGGTTTTGCTGCTTTCTCCTGTGTGTACGTGTGTGTGTGTGTGTGTTCCCTGTTTGATTGGTATTAAAGAATTATTATTCGGTTAATTTACAGTGTACCTATTCTGTTAAAAATGTATATTTTGATTGATTTGGGGGGGATTGTTTTGCTTTTTTTACGTTGGGTGGGTCAAGGAGACAGACTTTGTGAAAAAAACCAAAAATGGAACAAAAATAGAATAAAAACTGCCAGTTATGGGATTAATCGGTTTTCAATGCATTGTAGGTCAATGGAGATTCAACCTACAGACTTTTTGACTTGCAGCCACCGTTCCAATACGGATTAATCCGTAAGTAGAGGGTCCACTGTAAATGAAACAACCATCATACTAAAAACATGAAAATGAAAGGGACACGGGGCGAGGGGAGAGACACAAAGTGAACAAAATATGAAAAACAGTTCTCTAACCATCCAGATTTGTAGCAGCACTAGTTTCCAATATAGGAAACAGCAGGAGGAGAAAGGAAGGGGAAGAGAATGACCAGAAAGTGTAGTAATACCACTAGAAAATTTTCTTCTCCCTTCCTTTTTCACACACCCCAACACACACACATCCCCGGAGTAAAACGATGGTGATGGGTGGCAGGAGAGAGGGCCGAGAAAGAATAAGGTGAAATTCCAGGGAGTGTGAAGGACACCAGCTTCCTTGCAGTGCCTTCTTAAGAAGGCATCAAAAAGGACCATGCCCGTTGCCCTCACTCATCATCCCCTTCCCTCTGGCTGCCTTCCAAAGAACTCTGCTCAGTAGTGAGAGGCGGGCTTTGTCTTGAACAAAAGAAGGGGCAAAATAATACAAAGCAGTCAACATCATACTGCCACTGCCCTGATCTGATGCTTTCTGTCCTAGGAGTACTTTGGGCAGGGTGGGGGTGGGGGCGCAATCTAAGACTGGTACAGTTGCAGCATTTTCTCTATGTACCATAACTTTGCATTTTTCCATCCACCCCGAGCAACCCAGAAATGTACCAACATGGACCTAGATAGAGTCATGGTATCTCCAAAAGGGCACAGGACAGCTCAGGCACCAATCCGTGTGCAATTAGCTGGATAAAAAAGGATAAGCATAAATAATAAATCCCTTTATCAAAGCAAACAAGAGAGAAGAGAGAATTTACTTTGCTGCAGACAAACAGATGTATATCTGTATACTGTATCTCCAAGAACATAGATATTATATATCTAACACACCTATACATATAGATGAATAATAACAATATTACATATATTATAGCACATATTAATATACTATGATACAATAATATGAATACTGTATATTAAATATATTATAGTACATAATAAAGATACTATAAAACTGCAAACATTCTATCCTTCTATTTGTTTTTAATAAACCTTGAAGAACTACATGATATCTAATAATATATATGGATCCTGAGTATTCAAAAATAATATATATATTTTCTATCAACTTTTTTTCTTTGTTGTCTCCCTACTATAACTCTTACCAAATTCATCTCAGCAAATACAATGAATTATATTTAATCATATCCCAATGTATGGCATTTCTTTTTCATCACCCTGCATGATCTGATACAACAAATTATTTTATATTATCAATTGCTTTAACTTTTATTGAAAAGGTTTCTATAACTAAGAAACCTAATTTCATAAACCAGTACAAACAAAATGTGTGTTCTATCCTTTAAAAATAAAAATAAAGAAATGAAGAAACACCTGTGTTCTCTGGATTCTTTCTGCCGTAAGGAATTCTATTGATAATGAGATAGTAGCCATCATTTGTGAGGACCTCATATTCTTCATTGGGGTAGCCCTGGTACTGTATAACTTCACTCTGCAAAAAGAACCCACCCCCAACAAATCGTAGTCAGAAACTTGAGTGCTTACATAAATCAGGAAGTCCATCAGGAAAGACTACATATTCTTTACCACTGGCTGCAACCTTGTAGCCTAGCTGCAAAAGACGTGAGAGTCACAACTCCCACGAGAACAATATCCTATTTCCTCCTACATGGTCCTCCAAGTAATGCATATCCATAAATCAGCTGACAAGAACCTTCAAAGATTCTTCTCAGCAGTGGTGTCACCATGTTTGGTATTAAACGTACATTTGGAGCACTCATACAACCTGCTAGTATCTCCAGCTAGACCATCTCCCATTATTCTTCTTTGGTTTGGATTAGAGGTTCCAGCTGTAAAATACCACAGTTTAGAAAGTTTCTTCTAAGAGAAACAAATGTAATGGAATTATAATGACATGCTGAAGTCATCTGGACCATCAGCCTATCACTGCTCCATTGTAGCATGGCATTATATTCTATTGCATTACTGTCCAATGTTTGTAGCTGGTGATGAGTTGTCATTGCTGGACCCAGCAACCTGAGAACTTTCAACAAGGGTCCATAGTGAGTATCTGACACAAGTCTTCTTGGTTGAGCTACTACTCTAGCTTCTGAGCCAGTTAAATGAGGCATAACTATCACTAGTGACCTCTTCTGGATTGTGTTGGTTTCTCCAGATGATGTCCCTGAGGCAGTCTGGTTGCCAGTGTGAAGATCCTTGTTTCTTCCTGACACCAGCTCTTCCTGTGTTCTTTTCCTACAGAGAGTGATTCTCCTCCTTCTCAGTCCTGCCCAGGTGTCCTGACTCCCCATCTGCATTTTTGGGCTGCCCTATCACCTCAAGATTCTCCTCCACAGGACATGAAGACAAGGAACTTGCCATGGATGATGGAGGCATCACCCTTAGACATTGCAACAGTGAGTAGCAAGGACACCAGGTTGCTTCTTGTGTGGGACCTGATTCACATAATAAACTGCTTTTGCCTGTTACGAGTGGCTAAAATATGAATGTTTTTTTTTCTCATGGCTTCTCTGTGATGGCATCAATACTGCAGCCACTCATGGCTATGTCACTGAAGCTATATTGCTAAAATATATCTTAAGAAGAGATGTCAAGTGGACAGATCCCCACTCTCACAATGAAGCCAGAATTTATTGAGTGTCAGACACTTGGACCTATAGAGGAATCCAGTGAAGAGCCTGTAATTTTAGAAAGTGAATTTAAAGGTGCTGTGAAAGCAGTTGGAGGAAATGTATCAGCAGGATGGAAGAATGATAGAACTATTTCAAGCTGTAGAAACCGAATCTGTCAAAATTTGTACAAGACTATGACAACAAATATTGGAAACAAAACAATGGCCCACAGCCTGGAAATGTTCCATATACATTCCCAAGAAAGGAGTGTAGTAACTGTAGGACCATTTCATTAAGTTCCCCTGCAAACAAAATGATACACAAGATATTGCAATTAAGACTTTTACCTTATATAGAGCAAGAAATGCTTGACGTTCAAGCTGGATTCCAAAAAGGGACAGAGATCATACTCTAAATATACACTGATTACTGAAGAACACCATAGAATTTCAGTAGATCAGTCTATGCTTTATAGACTACAGCAAAGCCTTTGATTGTGTGAATTACGAGAAGCTATGGGTTGTTCTGAAAGAAATGAGGCTGCTTCATCACTTGATTGTCTGGAGGCATAACCTATATTGTGGACAAGAAGCTATTATTCCTACAGATAATGGAGAAATAGCTTGGAGAACACACCCTTGCCAGACAAGGGTGTATTCTATCTCCCTATCTTTTCAATCTCTATTCAGAAATCTGGATTAGATTCAGATGAAAGAAGAATGAGAATTGTTGGAAGGAACATCAGTAATTTAAGATTTATGAAGGTGACATCATCCTCCTGGCAGAAAGCAGCCATGATTTGAAAGACTGTTAGTGAAAGTGAAAGAAGTGCCAAAGAATGACTGTAGTTAAACTCTTCCTGACTACAGAACTACACAACTTTAAAGCTGACAATAAAGACACTGAAATTTTTAAAAAAAAATTGTATTCCTTGATTCAGTCATCAATCCAAATGGAAACTGCAGGCAAGAAATCAGAAGAGTGATATTTGGGAGGGTAGTTACAAAGGAACTAGAAAGGATCATCAATTGTAAGGATGTGTCACTGGAGACCAAGGCCAGGATCACCTAAACAATTGCATTTCCAGTTACTATGTACAGATGTGAAAGCTCAGCTGTGAAGAAAGATGATCGGGGCAAAATGATTCATTTGAAGAACCAGAGAAGAGCTGTTGTTTATCTTCCTGGACCTCCAGGAAGATAAAACAAGTGGGTCCTAGATCAGATCAAGGCTGAGCTCTCTCTGGAACCAAAAAAAATTACAACACTGAGGCTGCTGTATTTTGGGCACATCATGAGAAGAAAAGATTTGCTGGAGAAATCCATAAATTTTACAAAAAGTTGAAGGCAGCAGGAAAAGAGGAAGACCAAATATGAGGTGGATTGATCTCATAAAGAAGCTTGAGTTTACAAGACCTGAGGAAGGCTGGTAAGGACTGAATATTCTGGAGCTCATGCATTCATAGGGTTATGTAAATCAGAAGGAATTTGATGGCATGTAACAACAAGAAAAGTAGGCTTCTGGGTTTGTTTTGTGAGAGGTAGAAAACTTAGATCTAGGCTGTTTGAGATTATATTTCTGTCTTATGCAAGTGAAAGGCTATACTCTTTCCCCTTCACTTACTCTGTATGTGGAGAAAGGTACGGTTGACTGAGGTTAACTTCAATTTCATTTCATCTTAATTTCAGTGTTTCATTTTTAATGGTAATAGGTGTGTTTGCTTTCTAAATATAAGTAAGCATGAATCTCACCTGCTGTGTAAAAATACTGACACCTTTTACTATGGTGATAATTCATTACAGGGCATTGCTATCAGCAGCCTTCCACAACTTGCTACTATCCGGGTGGCACTACGACTTCCATCATTCTAAATACTAGCTAGGGATGTTGGAAGATGTAGTCTAAACCAGTGGTTCTTAACCTTTGTTACTCAGGTGTTTTTGAACTGCAACTTCCAGAAACCTCAGCCAGCAGAGCTGATGGTGAAGGCTTCTGGGAGTTGCAGTCCAAAAACATCTGAGTAACAAAGGTTAGGAACCAATGGTCTAAACCATCTGGGGTACAGAGGGTTGGGTAAGACTAACCCAATGCAAGTACAGGGCTCTAGGTATCCACTCAGCTTTTTCTGGAATGCATCCCTTCAAGGTGAATAGGATGATGGTTGCATATCTCAGTGGTTCTTAACCTTGGGTTACTCAGGTGTTTTTGAACTGCAACTCCCAGAAACCCCAGCCAACACAGCTGGTGGCGAAGGCTTCTGGAAGTTGCAGTCCAAGAACACCTAAGTAACCCAAGGTTAAGAACCACTGGAATATCTGAATCCTTCCCTACCTCCCTCTCAACCAAAAGGAAAGGATAATTCTCTCTCTACTTGTTAGGAAGAAATATTCAATCTGGCTTCTTCTCTTGAATGTGAACACTATAAAATGCCTTCTCAGTGGCTGCTCCTGTCCTTTGGAATGCACTCGTCTCTTTTGTCCTTCTGCTGTCAGGCAAAGACCTTTCTCTTAAGCAGGCTTTTGAACAGTAAGTTGTTCTATAAATACTGGTTTTTAATTTACAGATTTTAAAATGTTTTAAACTTTTGTTAATCTTGGTTTTTAATCTTAAACTTAAAAAATTATATATTATTTTAATATGTGAATGGTTTAATTGTTTTAATATGATATTTATATAGTATTTTAAAACTGTGTTTGAGTTATAGTTTTATCAGTTGTGACCTGCCTTGAGTCCCCTATGGGGAGAAAGGCAGCATATAAACTATTTAAATAAAATAATAAACTTATTCAAACAATATAAAATCTGGCATCCTTAACAAACATACATGGGAGCATCTAGACGTGGGCATTGTTAACCTACAAAGAAGGGAGCATCTAATCTTACCCCCTTCGTGATCACTCCCTTATCACAATGAGCAAAGAATCTGAAGATTGGTTGTTGTAGGTTTTTAGGGCTGTTTGTGTGCACTGATCACTGGTCCTTGTGGTTGCATAGAGTTCATTGACCTTTTTGTATGCTGTATTTTTCAGTGCTGGGAGCCAGGCTTTGTTGAGTTTTAGACTTCCTACTTTTTTGTTGAAGCCATGATGGTGTTTGTGGATTTCAGTAGCTTCTCTGTGTAGTCTAACATAATGATTGCTGATGTTGTTCAGTACTTCTGTTTTTGAAATAGGATTTCATGCCCAGCTTGTTTCAGGGCATGTTCAGCTACTGTCGATTTTTCCAATTGTTTTAGTCTGCTGTGGTCCCAATATACTGGTGAAATGTTAGGAAGAAAAACTTCAAGAGCATAGCCAAACAGCCCAAAAAGCCTACAACAACGATTGGATCCCAGGCGTGAAAGCCTTCAAGAATAATCTGAAGATTCCTGTTTGCATGGAGACTCTCCACATGACTGAGAAACCAGATTTTACAGGGTTTTTGTTTGTGTGGAGATCTCTTCAGATATGTTGTTAGTTTCATGAAGAAAGAAATGTCAAAGAAGCAAGGCTAGAGCTTCCACCTGAAGGCTGTTGAGAACACTGGATTCAAAAATGGCTAAACAGAGTTATGCTCTCTCTTTCTTTATGCATAGAGATATCATTTCTCCCTTTAGCAAATTTCAAGATGCAGTATTCTGTTAATGACTGGGAGGCTCCAGCATATCTGGTTCTAGAAATTTCTTTCAGAAAAGGAAGGCAAGATGTAAATGTGGCTGTGATGCCTTTTCTAGAGGAGTGGTTCCCAAACTTGTCCCCAGATCTTCTTTAACTAGAACTTCCAGAAATCCTGGCCAGTACAGCTAGAGGTGAAAGCTTCTGAGAGTTTTAGTCCAAGAACATCTGGGGACCCAAGGCTGGGAACCACTGTTTGAGAGCATACACACACACATCTATGACTAGAACAATGGTGCACATCGTGAATGAAATCCTGACCTGGAAGGGACATTAAAATAGACAATGAGAATACATACAAAAATGTTTTGCACATAACTGAAATATGTGTTGAACTTACTATATTCATAAATGTTTCTGGTGCTACTTCTCTTTTTTTCCTTGAGTATCGTTCTGAATCTGAACATGCCAGGATCAAAAGGGACATCATAATGCACAACAACATCTTGGACAACTGTAAAACAACATAGTAATTGATTACATTGTTGAAACTTTGCAGTTCAGCTCTTCAGTGATTAAGATACTGATGTGCAATTGTGAGAAACCTTACAATAAGAGCAATTACTAATTTCTTTTCTTAATAAGCATATCATTTGAAAATGTTTGCTAGTTTGCCTAAATCCACTAAAGTTTTTCAATAATGCAAATGAGAAGTTGAGGATAACATTCATTACAATGTTCTGTGCATAGATACTTGTTAGAATTCTAAAAAGGTCACCCCATTGCACAAAATCAAAAACTACACAAAAAGAAACAGTTTTTAGGGTCAGTAGGCCTGTGGAAGGTATGGACACAGAGTCCTAGGTTTTGTTCCCATTTCTTCCCAGACCACTTCAAAACCACTCTGTTTTGACTTAGGTACAGAACCTGAGATTTAGAGATATAATGGTTCCTTTCTTCCACTGAATATACTTATAAATCCAATGAGGTTTACAATTTTTTCAATTTGTGTCAATATTGCTTGAAATTCTTAGGCTTACAATCCCCTCAGAAGTGGGCTATGCCTTCAAATTTCAGACAAATAAGCATAATATTTGTGCCAGATTCATGGAGAGGGTTGTTTTTACATGGAGGCCAGGTATGCAGCTATGTTTCGGGTAAAGAGGTACAGGGATTTTTGTACAAGAGCAGTACTTCAATTGGAGGGCACACAAAAGGGAAGTTCTTAATTTCCCCTTGTTCCTTATGGACTACTGCTATGAAAATGACCACAAAGAGATACCCATAAGCAATAAATCTACAAGGCTGCAGAAGAACACCATCCTGAACAGCCAAATCTCACTTGTTTTTCGAAGTTAAGTAGATGATCATGCTTGGATAATAATTAGGTGAGTATCAGGGTTCTCCAGGTAAGACTTGGAAAAATTGCTCTCTGAAACTCTGCTGAGCTACTGCTAGTCAGAGTTGATAATACAGGTCAATAGTCTGACTCAAAAAGATGGTGGTTCATATGTTGCTATAGTAGATGCACTGGTACATGTGTAAAAGAATACCCCATTTGCAACTGGGAAGAGTTACTCACTTTCCCTTGAATTCTCTCAGTGTTTTTATGACGATGTGTATAAAAATAACAGGTATCACAGAGATGTCACCAGTCCAGAAAATGGATATTTCAAAAGGATGGATGCAGGGGCAAGATGATTATAATGCTATAAAACCAACATAAGTTTTTTTTTTTAAATAGTGAAGCAGGGTGACATTGGGAAGGATGAAACAAATGTTAGAGTTACAATATGTCCATTAAGGCAGTGGTCCTCAACCTTGGGCCTCAAAAAAAAATAGTGAAGCAGGGTGACATTACGAAGGATGAAACAAATGTTAGAGTTACAATATGTCCATTAAGGCACAGCACCTAGAGAGTGTCTCTTTCAACATGCTTTAGGATTAGAAGCTGGACCTAAAAATCACTCAATCCCACTCCCTCTCTTGCCCACCGTCCACAAAATGCCTGCTTGGGGTAACAGCAGTGTACATTTCTGCACTTTGAATGAAACTTGAAATCCAATTCAATTCTGTTACCATTAGAGAAATCTCATTTTGTGCAGGAAAGTACCTGAACCAATCCAAAAGAATTCAGCTCAGACTTTGGCCAAGTCCAACATCCCTGAAATTTACTGGGCCCACAGTAACCATCAAATGTTTGTCATCTTAACACCTGAACCAATCCAAAAGAGGTTTATTCAGCTCAGACTTTGGCCAAGTCCAACATCCCTGAAATTTACTGGGCCCACAGTAACCATCAAATGTTTGTCATCTTAGTAATACAGGCAAAAATGATTGTTACTAATAAATATACTAAAACCCCTGAGGTATTTAAAGCAAAAGCAAAAAAGCAAAGCGCGCTGCTTATATACCGCCCCATAGCGCTTCAAGCACTCTCTGGGCAGTTTACAAGTTAATTATGCAGGCTACACATTGCCCCCACCCCAGCGAGCTGGGTACTCATTTTACCGACCTTGGAAGGATAGAAGGCTGAGTCTGGCTGGCTACCGGGATTGAACCCCAGGTCGTGAGCAGTTTTGGCTGCAGTACAGCGGTTTAACCACTGTGCCACGAGTCTCCTTATTTAAGTCAAAGCTATGTCCCCATTACTTCAGAGTTTGCACACTAAAGCATCTGTCCACTGGTATGATTACAGTGATAGATCTTGAAATAAAGCATTGGTCAAACTCTTACTGGTGCTTGTGAAAGGTTTGCCTAACATGTCACCGCTAATTGCAGCTAATAGACAAGGTGACAGGGCATATCTTGGGGATGAGCCTGGTCAGATGCCTGATAGCACAACAAAGATGATGCTCAGAACTTCACCATAAGAAGTTACACAAACCTTGTGTGAACAGCAATCAGGTTCTGATCATTGACTTTGTGTACTCTTGAACAGGGATGTGTCTAGCCAAAAAGAGAAAGTGTTTCTTTTGTTTGGGATTCTTTCAAAGGGTGCCTGTTTTATTTTCATATTCCTTGTATTCTGGTCCTTTCATTTCATTCTACAGATAATGTTGGCCCAATGTTCCTGAAGGGTCACCTTAACAGATTATATCGTGAAACTGCTTGGCAAAAAAGAGAGACAGGCCCTGAGAAGGGGAACAGCAGTTCCTCGGCCAGTCATCATATTTCAACTGTAGACTTAGGCAGCAGTTGTTGTTTTCTACCATTGACGCAAGTATGCTTAAAGTTCACCTAAATTTTACCCTTCCTTGCAGACATTGTGTCTTCAGTTTCCTTTGTATAATGAGAATAACAACATTGTTCTATTTAATTACTCTTATTATTCCACTAAATGCGCCCACCGCATGGCATATGATAACCGTAAGGTCATGCGGTACTCCCAACTTTAGAAGCTGCTGGCTGTGTGCCTTGTCACCTATGGCTGATGTGTTTGCCTTTGCGACCATCCTCTCATCCACTTTGTAGAGCTGTAGGGCAAAGAAAAAAGTTGTCTCTCCACTTAAATAGCCTTTTTACACCTGGAATAGTCTTCTTATTTTCTTTGTAACTCAGCCAGTTTTACAAATTGTTACATAAATCTTATTACACCATGAAGATTGAATGTTTATATGGTTGTGGAAGAATGATTGCTGGGTGGGTTTTAAATGAATGGACCACACAATTAGGGTGCTTTGAATTGTGCTTACTTTTGCCTCTGTTTTGTTTTGTTTCTTGCCTGGCATGTTTGTTTAGCATAGTAAGTCACAACTAGAGTAGGCCCACTGAATCAGTGGAACCAAATCCCAACTGTATCTGGAAGCTGAGTCTTGACGACTGGACTTCTTTCTTGTTAGGCTGAAACTGCTTGGATGAGGAGCGAAAAATTTCGACCTCACCTAACAAGAAAGGAGTCCAATTGCCATGACTCAACTTCCAGATAACCACGCCTGGCTGACTAAGAATCCTCACAGATACATATCCCCACTGATTCACCAAGCCTACTCTAGTTGCAACTAATCAACAGGATTTCAGCCGTAGTCATGAATGAGAGATGGAGCATGACAGACTGGTTATAAGGCTCTGATCTTTGTGCCCTTAACAGGTACACAAATTCAGTCACAAGCGTTATACGTACCTCTAGTGAAAGGAAAAGTGTTTTTCTTTAAAAAAAAAAACACCAAAAAATTAAGGAGAAAGGCAAGGAAATCATTTGTTTCAGTCTTCATTTTAGCATTATATCTCTGTCAGTGAGAAACATTACTTGCTGTCCAAACCTAGGCACGGAATATGGTATAATAGTTTTTTAATGAAAAATTCTACAAAGAATACAACTCTTCTGAACTGACACACATACATCAGTATTAGCCCCTCCTGTTCATGAGGACATCTTGGCAACAGAACAATCTAATTTTGTGATGGGACATATGTGAACAGTGTGGCTACACTAGGCAGGGTAAATATGACTCATTTTGAACCGTTCTTTTAACTTCTGTATCTTCCCTATTCTATACATAGCTATGCAAGCCTATGACCATGAAAGGCACACATAAATACTCTAAATACAGAATTATTTGAGAAGGGAATCATGTGATCACCCATGTGGCTGCAGTGAACAGACATACAGACTGTGCAATGGTGGAGCCGCTCACAAACTGCTGTGCATGAAGAAATTCATAATCTTATATTAAATGTGGATAATACATAAATGCTAAAAGCTAAAGTCAGCTGAGCACAAGATAACTTGTTATTGAGTAGCTTTCCAGGGAGATTTTGGTATCCAAAAGAAATCCCCAGTGCCTCACATGATATGAAGCCAAGCACGTAAACACACACAAATCTGTCCATCTTGCTTTCTCCACCATGTAAATCTTTCACATTTCAGTTCTTCCCACCCCACACCTCAAAGGTATTACTTTTGGTAAGTTTTAATCAAAAACAAGTCATAAAATAGTTCTTCTCTGTGTGTGCCCGCCAAATGCAGTAAGTACAACTATTCCCTGCCTTGTAGCTGTTAATTGTCAGAATTTACATCAGAAAAAGAGAGAGGACCACCCTTAATTCAGCATCGCAAATGTTACTGAATACATGAGGATTCCATGCCAGACTCTTAACAGGTAATTATTCACAAGGCCTCTCCCTGGATACTTAAATCTAACAATTTTGCTTTCTCCTCTTTACTTTAAAAAGACCCTTCCATAAAATTTATGAAGAAGCTTGTCACTTTTTGGTAAAGTCTTGCCCGAGAATGAAGCAAAAAAATAATAATCACACCCATCCTAAAAAAAATGTAAATAACTTGAAACACACGTTCCTTTTCAAGTTGCCAGAATGTGCATAACAGATAGAGGGAAAGAAAAACTTACCATTCGGCTAGAGGCTCTATACTATACAGTGCTCCCTGTAACTGAAGGGTGAAGACTGCATGGACTGCCCAGTCTTTAAAGGCACCAAGAGACTGATATTTACTGCATTATTGAACCTCCCTGATCCATGGCTACAGTCACGAGTGCTGACATT